CCCTCTGCCTTGCAGACGCATTACGTGCCTGTATGCGTGTGTATCTGCATGAACTGCCGCTGCCTAGCTTAATTTTCCCCCGGATTTTTTTTGGCCACCACCCCGGACAATATGGATGAAGCATGGGCCTATGGCGGCGTGCCTGAGGACCCGGGAGTGAACGAACGTCGCTGGTAGGTGACAGGTCATTCCGATCCCAATAGGCGAGCCGGCAATGAGCCTCAGCCAGTCGAGACAACAGAGCGAAGCCATTGTTCACAAACCCTCGCCCAGTCCCCCCCTTTTGCTGACGGTTTGAGATGTGCCACTTTTGGGAGCGGCCTCCCACCTCTGGCACAAGTAGTAGGGAATGGGGAGAGGAAATATCCAGAGAGTAAGCGGAGCGCCAGACGGTGGCCCCCTGCGTCATTACATCACCCACGCGGGTTTTTATTTAGCCTTGGCTGGGCTAAGGCCTAGTAATCCCTCCAAACCACCAGCTCGTTTGAGATAAAGCAAATTTGGCCGCTGCCGTACCAAGGACATGGGTCCCACTGGGCATCAATTGCTCCAAAAGAGCTCAATCCTATTCTCCCCTCCGGGGCGTTTGGAGGCAGATGAGCGCGGAGTCGGGGGCAAGCCAAATTGCTGTTCCCCTTGTCAGTCCTCTGGCCATTACTAGTCGCCCAAAAGTTTTTTTCTCCTCTTTAGCCATGTCTCATGCCTCATGCCTGTCTTGCCCGAACGGGACGGCCCGTTGCGCTTTTCGAGCCGTTGCGCACGCGCCGTCGCTCCCACCCCAGCCAAGGTAGGAAAAGAAAGAAAACAGAATTGACTGGAAGGGGATAAACGAACGGAGAGCCTGCGGTGCTCGACCGGATAGCGAACCTTGAGGTTCGGGATCACCCCCCCTCCGTCTATTGGCGCCGGAAGCCAGGGCGTGATTGTAAGAGGGAAAAAGCCCGGGGCCCTGGGGATTCTCCTAGCTGGCGGTTGGCGTGTGAATCTGTCTGTGGCGAGTGAGATGATCAACAGCAGTAACAGCAAGCCCAACAGCGACTCAACCCGGTAAGTTTAAGAGTGTTCGACGCGGCCACTTTTGGAGGCCTGCGTCCAGTTCCTCTGGGTCAAATATGAGAGAAAATCACAGACCAAATCCTGCATCCAAGCCCATGACCGCGTCCCTGTAGCTGGTCATAGCCTTGCGTTTCAGTCAGGCCCGCCCCCCTTTTGAGTCAAGACCCGGCTCGCCCATAGTGCGCTGCCTTGCCGAATTCATGTAGTAATACCGGGCTGGCTGCGCATGTCATACTCTAACAACGGGCGGGCAGGAGAAATGGCTGAGCATAGATCGATAAGCCAATGCCAATCCACCCTGTGTTGTAAACCATGCCTGAAGGAATTGAGCCCAGCTTGCACACCCCTCCAATTCAGCCCGCCACGACCGGATGCATCTCTTCTCCCTCAGCCAGGACCACTAAAAGAGAGAAGGCATGATGCAGGCCCTTCCGGAAGCAGAAGGTCAGCTAATCAGACACCATGTTATGCTGGCTTCAGGCCCTGCGTCATCGTGGAGTTACATGTCGTCCTGGTAAAATTAATGCCCCGACGGAAAGGGAGAGCCATTGATCTAGCTAGGTGGTCCCCTTGCCTCCTCAACTTGTTCGCGCTTAATCTTTCTTTGAGCAAAGCTGGCATAGTCCCCTCATCATGGAGGGGTGTGTCTGGTGTGTCTCTTTCGCTCAGTTCCTTCTCACCCCTGAACCCTGCGGGCTGAAATTTTTCATCCGCCAGGGAATGCCCTCTTGTCGTCATCCTGTCTAACGGCAACGGATCTCGCCGTCTTGAGAAAACCTGCCTAGAAGGTGGATAGATCTGGCAGGGAAGCGGGAGGGTCTAAGGCAGAATGATGGACAGGTGAGCTTGCTGGGGTGGAGTAAGGCTCTCGTGGCTCGATATAGTATACTTTCATTTCCCCTCCTCCCCTCCCCATCATCAGAACCGCCGTCCGGATGGGACATGCTGCTGTCCCCCCTGAGATGCATGCTTCTGGGCTCACTTGTCTTGTGACTCAGTCGATCGGGCCGCCAACCTTCGATCAGTGTGGGTGACACCCTCAATGTTGTGTGTGTGTTGCGACCCCAGATCTCGCCTCCTCACGCCCATGCCCATTCACATGTCCTCTAGGCCGTGCGAGACAATGTTGTCCATGTATTCTCCATTTACACCCCGTACCACGTAATGCGTCGTGACAGGAGGGGCGATGGGCAGCCAAGTGCTGTCGGATGCATCCCCCTTGCTTCCGTGATCTCACAGTTAGTACGTACGCCAGGTCCTGTCCGTCCTGATTGTCTCCTTAGGTGGACCAGTAGCCACACCCTGATTATGAAACTCCAGGCGTATTCTTAGTCTTTCACACGCGCGTCTTTGATGCAATAGACTCCTCCCTTTAGTCCAGCTGAGTGTCCGCGGGTAACTTGCGTATTGAGAATATTCGAGACTTCGATAACAGGGATTTAGGGATAATGAGGCTACAGAGGAGGAGTAGGGGGGGTAAAAGGGCTATATTATCAGCAAAGGACAGTCACGCAGGGTGGAGAAGCGCCACTTCGTGCTTGGGAACAGCAGGGCCCAGAGACTGACCAGACAACCTGTGCCACGTTGTCTTGGTTATTGGACGATCTGCTACCAGTGCTGCCCTGGGCTTTGGAACGGCGAGGGTCCTGGAGCAGCGAGCCATCCATTGTCCCCCAACTGCGACACAATAGACTGCCAGCCCGCCTCAAGGTTCATGTGAGAGGACAGGCATGCACCGTCATTGTGTGCAACAGACAGCCCTCGTTCTCATCTCGCTTCGCCGTTGTTTTGTCGAATTTCCCCACGATTCGGCTCACCGAACTGCTACTTCCTGTGAAAACCTGCTGATGAGGGCTGCCACGAATGGCGTATTGGAGGGTGGCCGTCTCCTCGGGTGCCCAATGGCCATTTTAACAATAGAGAGGAAGAATGAAAAATGTATCCATGATGTCCGAGGTCAATGCTGCTCACCAAGAAGGCGCAGTGGTGACATCGTTCTCGTCCGACTTTTCCTACATAGGAAGTAGGCTGCCGTGCCATCTACTGAAAACTGAAAAGAAATGCAAGGCTTTCCAGCCGTAAGTCTGTTGACTGTGAAATATTCCAGGTTCCGATACTGTAAAGTAGTCGTTTTAGGTAGTTACGATACTTTGTAGTAGTCGTTTAGACAGCAAGATGCCTGTCGCAGTGACAGACAGTGGGAGGCTTACCGGCTCCTCCATAACGGGGTATATCGGCCGTAGGACCACTAACGGGCCGCACAGGTACACAGCCAGAGATTCAAGCAACCCAATTCGTGGCTGCCAAACCTGCGAACTTGCTGGGGGTGGCAGTGTTGGAAGGCTCGAGATTACTCGACTGAATAAACGTTGTGCCCCATATATTGCACCCGACGTTTGCTTCGTGTGCTTGCCCACCTCCGCTCCCATCAACGAATCATATCCCCTACACCCACCGGGGAATTCTTCATTGACACAGTTGAAAGAAGAATAGGGCTTTGATTTTTTCCTGCTTCCTGACACTTGTCCGTCCTCGGAACGAACCACTGTGCCCCACAGCGGCCGCAGATCGAGTCGCCCCCTTATCCGACTGAGGGAGGCCAGGCCGAGGCCTGCAGCGGGAAGCTTGCAGGGCGTCCTGATCAAAACATTCTCAGACGCGAAGCCCAAAGGTGGTGCGTGTTATGACGAGGGGGGATGCTGGTATGATTGCTGGCGCTGCGCCGTGGCCCTAGACGCATGTGTGTATGTGTGTATGTAGGTAGCAAGTATGTGACCTGGGAGGCCGGGGTTCAGGTGCCCAATTTCCCACGCATTAGGCATGAAGAAGCTTGGACTAGCTGGAATTCTGGAGATCTGTATAGGCATGCCGGATCCAATATTGGATTGCGTTGTGTCTGTATCCATGCGGGAGAGATACGACAAGTGTATGGGAGACACCAATCCCGGGCTACCATTGATATCCATGCCATACATGCAAGTCCATTGCCCTTAGTTGTGTAGAAGAGTTGAGAGATGCACATTACTCGGATCTTTGAGGAAATAAAACAGAGATGCACAGAAAGAACCTCTAGGCGGAGGCGAGAGAGCAGTTTCTAGCGGATAAGACGATTAAAAAAAAAGGAACGGGATAAAAGGAAACAATAACAATAGATAATTGGCATCAAAATATTCGACTGGCTGCAGGGACTTGAGTGATGGCCGTCGCATGGTCACTACTAGGCCAGGAACGGCCTTCGACGAAGAGGGGTGGGGTGGAGGGGGTGTTTCACGGGCCCGTACGAGGGTGTGTGTCCTTCTAGGCGGCCAGCCAGTGAACGTATTGATGGGACGTATCCATGGGGCTCTCAAGTAGGGATGCCCAATGCCCGTATCGAGGTTTGTCCCACAGCAGCGGCATGATGAATGAACAGCGCAAGAGGAACGCTTGTTGGTCGCTGGAGTCCCACTGACTGCTGTGATGTTGAGTGCTGTCAGGAGGGCCATAAGGCGGCGATCAAATTGAAAAGGCTCGGGTCGGGCAGATATAAGTTGAGGCGCGCATCTCAGATGGTTCCCGGCCTGGCATATTCAATCAATTCGACCTTGCCAACGCCGACCTGCAGCGAACAGTGTGACTTGGGTGGACGAACGGATCCTCCAAAGAAAAGACGTTGGTGGATTGTGTTCCATCTGAAGCCCCCAAAAACTCGACTATATATCTAGGGCTATAGCCTGCTGTGCTGTGCGGTAAGTCCTCTCTTGTTCTGTGCCTTACGACCAACAACCACTCACTGCTCCTTCACCAATGTAATTCCCGGAGATTGTGTTGAGAAGACTCTCATGCCTGACGTACATACCAGAACCCAATTACCAACGTTGTGGACTGAGTGTCTTGGCAGAGCCGAAGGAATCCGTCTATATTGCTGCGCTCGTTCTCGTCGGCCGACCGTCCGGCGCTCAATCATGTGTTATTTCGATCAAACCCGTTGGACCTGCGGCTACTGGAGATGGGGCCATTTCCGTCAGCAGTGCAACAAAGAGTATCGTATGGGCGAGACCTGTGGCCTCAAGCTCGTCTATGAAACTAAGCCAGAGCAAGGTGTCTGCAAGTTGTGTCGAGACATTGAGAAGAAGCAGCGGCGATACGACAAAATGTGGCGCGACGTGGAGCGCTGGCAGCGAGAGGGGGGAAAGCCTGCCACTGTCGAACGAACAATGGGCGAGATGCAGGAGGTACTAGGACAAATCTATCGCTTAAAGGATGAGCATGACCATCGGCTACAGTCTCTTGGCCAGGTATGAACGAGCCCGCTTCCCTATCAAACCCGAAGAGGAGCGGAAGCCGAGCCCTTGTTGGTATGCTGCTCTGGTACAAGGCAAGCGGTAACTAACTCTGCCTACCACTGCAGTGATGAAGCCAGGATAAGGCGGCTCACAGAACGCAATAAAAAGAAACAAGAAGAGTCAACAAGACGAAAAAAAAACAAGCAAACAGGGGGATTTCGCTTATACAGGCATGTTTCACGAAGGGAAAGGGAAGAGTCGCTATCAGTTGTCTGTAATTTTGCTTTGAGCTTTGACATTGCGAGGGTTTGATCATCAACCGAAACCCTCTTCACTTTCATTTGTCCTTTTTTTTCCCACTCTCACTGCTGGGGCGCGTGTTTGAAGGCTGAAGAATGGAGCCAAAATTTGATCAGCACCGGGCTCCAGTCCCCAATGTAACGTACTCGAGGAATATATGCGTTGCCATAAATCGGAGTTGGCATGGCTTTGGTCTGTACCACTTGTCCTGGGTGTTCTTGCTATAGCTTTGGGGAAATAGTGATGGTAATATACACCGAGCTCGGAAAAAGGAGCTGCCAATCGTCAGTGACGAGCTCGGGTTCAGACAAGTCTTGGACTGTGCCTATTGGAGCCATTCTGTGATGGAAAGGAGGGGGCGGGATGTCTTGTGTGTGCCAGAACACAAGAGAGGGGGGCCGCAGGTGGGAGGGTCCTCTGGTAGCGGAGAGGAATACAACAGACAGTTATGCGCTAGGGATTGGATGGGAATGGCAAATGAGACCGCGGGAATCACAAAGAAGTGCCGAGCAATGAACCAGCCAGCCAACCCAGCTCTACGGCAACAACCTGGTCAGTGCCAGGGTAGTAGCCATCATGGAATATGGATAACTAACCAGTATTTAGGGCTCCCGCCATCAAAGGTTCGCGTAGCACAGTCAGAGGGCAGTCAGTGCCCTACCCTAGTCAGTTGCTCATCATCGTTCCTTTTCTAACCCTAACTTCGGGACGCTTCCAGTGAGTGCGTCAGACGGGGCATAGAACCAGATGGGGTAGCCCCTGTGAAAGCCCAGGATGTAGGGAGACGGCGCGGGCCTACAAGGCAATGCGTGAACCCAGCCCAGGCAGATTGGTCGAGGGATCAAGCGAGAAATACCGCACAAGGTGGCCCACGTCCCTGGGTACAGTGGTCATGGGTGCCTCAGAATAGAATCGTGACGTGTGAACAACGCGGGAAATCGAGCAGGGTGATGCAATGACCCGGCAAGGCGGGCAGAGGATTATGAGATTGGCACAAAGCACATTAGGGCCTCCACACAATGGACTTGACCAGGAGGCGGTTCACTACTGGGTTAGCTAGACGTCAGAAGCAGTTCTAGGCCGAGGGCTGAACCCTCTTTATTTGCTCTGCACCTCTGGAGTGTGGCGCTGTCACCAGCGAATGGATCCATGGGTTCGGAGGAGGTCCTACTATGGACATGAGCGTGGCCAAGGTGCAACCCAGAGTCCTGGGAGAAGAAGTGCTGGCACATACCCTTGTTCTCCCACAAGTGCATTGGAATCTTAGCCCTTCCCTCTTCTTCTTCTTCTTCTTTGCCCACAGGGCGAGAGGAGAGAAGCACCTCAGGTTAAAACTGGGTCGGTAATCTGGACTTATCACTGCGTGTTGAGCTAAAGGTTCCCCACTGCCGAGATGCGCACGTGTTAGATGCTTAATGGGCACCATCTGGGGCATGGTCTGGTCACTGGTGCTCCTATTATCGACGGCCCGTTGCCATGGAAGTCTAGCCATGATCGGCGAGCTGCCATGTGAACCAGTACGCTTCCGTGAGGAGGGATTGGTGCTTGAACTAATGACATGGGCTGGCGGGGCCTGTTCAGGATTGAGATTGAATTTTTTTGCATTCGATTGGTGTTTTTCGGTTGAAGTGGCCCGTGCCATCCACACCGGCCTTGGAATAATTGAAGGAAAAAATAGTAAAAGAAAAAGGGTCATTATGAAGTTCCGACTTCTGTATAGCGTCGAGCTTATGAGCGGCCGCGACGGACCGAGAGGGCCGTCTCCGCCCGCTCGGGGGTATCAATTTGCGAAAAGAGTTTTTTTTTTGGTACAACCCACGCTCGTTTCAGCCAAACCCATATAGACAGGGGCGTCTTCTGCAGCTTACACCTTGTGTTGCCCACCATTACTTACCTTTAATCATTTGATCATCTTGGAAGTGGTCGACGCAGCGGCAGCGGCATCGGCGAAAGTCCCAACCAAGGCCCCTTCATCTCCTTCCACAGTCGTTAAGCTTTCCGGGCGGTTTCGATCCGGGTCGGCGGCGTCATCGTCCAACAACCAGTCTACTTTGACCTCTGCTGGCGGGGTCGCTTCTTGAGTATTTAGTTTCGAAACCAAGCGCTGGTAACGCGCAAGACGTGCGCCCTGGCCTGTGTACGCAAAATGAGCAGATGGCCCATTGGAAGCTCCCAAATGAGGTGTGATTTCAAACACATCAACCATGTTGCTGTAACAAAAACAGGATGTCAGCATAACCGAACTGCTCACTCTAGTGGAAGAAAACGCGTACTTGGATGTTTTGGCAACTACACTCTGGATCGCCTCGTTCTCTCGCTGGACCTCGTTCGAATCGTGCTCGCCGAAACTACCGTAATTCACACCATGCTCCTCTTCGTAGATTAGGGCAGTCTCCTCGTCCTGGATAAAAAAAGAGACACGCACAAGTCAGATGAAGTTTGTAAGGGGCAACAGCATGGAAAACGTACCTCGCGCAGGCCATCGCGGTCACGTCGCCCGAAACATGACTGGCAAGCTCCCATTATGGAAGCTACAGCTAAGGGGAAGGTGATTTGGCCGGTATTGCTATGGAGGGAATCGTCGTAGAAAGGGCCCGGCGTCAAGGGAGGAGGAGCCGTGGAGGTGAGACAGTCAGGACGGCTCTACCCTCGCGTGATGTGGTGATGTTGCATGTCGTTGAGCTGATCTCGCGACTTCCAAACTAGAGCTGGTTTCTTGATGCCTCAGGCCGCAACACCCAGGAGCCGGTGGCGTTCGGGTAATCCACGGTCCGCTTTTGGTGCACCAGCCTGTCGGTAAGAGCGAACGACAGCAGCCTGCAGGTAATATTGAAATTGATGCGACCTTCTCTCTTCTCCTCCTCCATCATCGCCGAGAGAGAAATGCCTGCGCTGTCCAGACTCTCCTCAGCGCATTGGGGTTGCCGTCGCGATGCACCCATGGCAGCACCTTTACTGGGCGCTATCCCTTCCCTTCATGCTCGTCAATGTCTAATACACAGCTCGCGGTTGATGAGGGAGCTCAGCTGCCCTGCTCCCTTCAGTGATTGAGTCAATCAATTGCCTCCCCTACAACAGGGCAGCCGACCCTCAATCCCCTCAATATGCGACCACCCCCTTGCGCCTTTCCCCGAATATCCAATACTGACCCTATGCTATCGTCGCCAAGCAATTTCTCCCAGTAGCTTTGTGGGCAGCTATTTGTGATGCCTCCTGCCGGAAGACACTCAAATCCATACCCAAAGGGATTAGGGCCATTGGAATTTCGCAGCGGTCTTCCTTCTCCCCTAGATTGTCACAGAAGACAATATTGAGGATCAATCCAGGGCTACGGACTCCCTTCTATGTCCAGATGGGACCAATCCCAGGATGGCCCGTTTTGATGCTTCATCTGCTATACCTTGACTATTGCAACTAACCTTGACTCTCTATAAAACCCAAGGTATTCTCTACGATTCTCATGTTCAGCATCACATCTCAACAACAGTTCTTCATCGTCCAATAACTAGTAGCCTCCCCCAGCTTCACACCTTGCACAACTCCCCGAGTTTCTTCGACAAACCAGTCCTTCGTCCCGCAGACACTTACCAAAATGGTCTCTGCTTTGCTGTCACTTGCCGTGGTCTCCATGGCTGGCCTTGCCCAGGCTCGGTCCGAACTATTCCAGCGGCGTGTCAACGACGAGTGTTGCCCCTGCCCGGTATCCGGATCTCCAGGTCCTCAGACGCCAGTCACCGTCACAGTCACCCGTCCCGCTCCTACAGGTGCAGACACCGTAACAGTCTACGTCACGCAGGGAAAGCCAGGACCTTCAGAAGCCGCGAAGGAGACGGTCACAGTTAATCACACTGTAACTGCTCCGGGTACAACCATCACCGCCCCAGGAACTACGGTTACTGCTCCGGGAACCACCGTCTATGTTGGTGGCAGCGTCCCTGCTGGGTCATCACCTTCGCAGCCACACACCAATCTTCCCAGGCCCGAGCATGGGAATCCGAGTGCCAACGAGAACAAGGTTCAAAAACCGTCCGTCATCACTCACACTGTCTTTCTGCCGAATCAGTCGGCTCAGATACCTGCAACAAACAGAATTAGCGTTACAACCGTCACTGCGACCCTACCTCAGGACAACACACAGCAGCCGGAAGCGACTGGTTCTCGGCCTTCTCCCAATACACCCTCTCCGAACAACTCGAATGGGTCCGGTTCAGGAAACTCTCAGACTCCGAATGGCCAGGCCCCGAACAACCAATCCCAGAATATCCAGACTCCAAACAAGGAGGCATTCGTACAAGCGCCTAACCATGCCAACAACAACGAAGCGCCCAACCATGCCAACAACAACCAGGCGCCTGACAACCAAGCACCGAGTATCCAAACTGTCACTGTCAGCCAATCCCCCGATCCCAAGGTGCAGACGGTTACAGTCACCCAGGGAACTGCCAACACGCAGCCCGTGGAATCGGCCAGCGTCGTCACCGTGACCGCCGCACCAAACTCCCAGCCTGTTCCCCTCTACATCCAATACCCCGAATTCTACCGGACCGTCACCCAGACCATCCACAACGGCGACACCACAAATATCGAGATCAACATGGTCAACATCATCAACGGCGACACCTTCTGCATCGTCCAAGGCACCAATAACCCCTGCGGCCACAACGTGGTCATCAACAACCCCGGCAGCCCACAGACTACCTCCGGCCCCATCCCTCCCCAGGTAGCAGCAGCCGGTGGCCCATCTTCCATGATCACCACCACCTCCTGCCCAACGCCCCAGAATTCCACCAGCATCGCTACCGTCTACAACACCGTCACTGCTACCATCACCCCCGGCCGCGGAGGCAACGACACCGCCGGGTTCTGGGCCGCCCGTCCCACAGGGGCAGATCGCCTCCCTCGCAGCCCCGTACACAGGGTATGGTAAGCGAGTCGATGCGTGGTAGTTGGCGCAGATGGAGAATAATCCTCCGTTCAAAAGGGGTAATAATTACATTTCCACGGTGTTTCCTAGTGTTTTTGTCATTATCTTCATATCTGTTTAGTAGACCCGTTCCTGGGCTTTTTTGTTTGTTTAAACCTAATGGTCTGCATTTCGCCCCCCTTTTAGATCATAATATAATATAATTCAATCTCTAGTATTAGCTCGAGTTCCTCCGATGTGATATAATGCATGTATTGAATAAAATGTTTGTTTCGCTGGGATAAAACCCAGCCCACAAAGCCGCAAGAGAGCAACTATCCCATCACTCTCCAATGCCCAAAAATACACCATGCTAATGCCTCTCAGCACTTATACCTGTAACACGTCACATGCATCGTTGTCTCAAATTCAACCTTGACATTGTGGTATCATTATCCATTATCAACGAGCGCTAAGGAGACGAACACAAAAATAACTGAACTACCACCTCCAGTCACTTCCCTCTCTCCCCCGGATCCAACACTCATCCGAATATATATACACTACACCCACGATAAAAGAAAAGCCAATCAGGACTAAGCTCGAGAGAAATTCTCTCCCCCCGTCCGATTACCTTTTTCCAGAGGAATGGCATAACTATTAGATTTCTCAGACTATCAAGCTTTGCCGTCGAACCGCTCGTCATGCGCAGTGAGCTGGACCTCCTTCTCGACCTGCTCAAAGTCGATGTGGGCGACCGCGTCGTCTCCGTCGAAGATGCGCGCAATCTCCTCGAGGGTGGGGCCCTTGGTCTCGACGTAGAAGAAGTAGACGAAGACGAGTTCGCACAGGTCCCAGAGGGTGTAGAAGAGGAGGAAGTTCCAGTGGTTGGGCATGTTGTCCCAGGCGAGCTTGTTGGTTTGGCTAAGGAGGGGGTCAGTCAATTGACCTCTTTAATGGATGGAGTGTATGCAAGGGGGGACAACTTACTTTCCGAGAGCCAGGATGGCCTGGACGGTGATGTTCATGATCATCATGCCCTTGGCACGGAGATGGAAGGGTAGAATCTCCAGGGCATAACTGACAAGAAGTCCAGAGAAACCAATAGCGTAGAAGACACCGAAGATCCAAATGAAGGGAAGCTGGGCGTATCCAGCTCCGGTGTTTGTGTACTCAACACCTTCTGCGTTGTCCTCGGTGATGGGGACCTGTATCTCCGAGTTCTCGTAGACGGCGGCGGTGATTGTCCAGCAGATGAAGGAGACAACCATACCGCAAGTTGAGATCAAGAAAAGAGGGCGGCGACCGAACTTGTCGACGCAGAAGGCGGCAGCAATAGAAGATCCGAGATCGAGAACGGTTTTTCCAGCAGTCAGCTACGGTACACTGTCAGCATTTCGCTCTAACGAGGTATTATCAAAGGGTCAACTTACAGCAAGCTTCTGGTTCTGCTCCGTGATACCAGCACCGACGAGGATGATGTTCATGTAGTTTGACAGGACGGCATTACCAGAGTACTGGGAGATGATACCAAGAGAGACAATGATACCAAGACGCCACAGGTTGCCCCTGGTCTTGACGAAATCAGTGTAGCCAGTCTTGGTTCCACCGGCACGATCACGCTCAATGACTTCCTTGATCTCGCGGTACTGGAACTGGACGGTAGCATTGTTCGCATCACCTCCACCGTGGTGCTTGGCGAGAACCTGCAGGGCTTCCTCGGATCTGTCCTTGTTGACAAGGAATCGGGGCGACTCGGGAATCCACCAGATTCCGACAAGCTGCATCACCGAAGGCACGCACTGGATAAAGGTGATGGACCTCCAGGACCAGTCGCCCTTGATGGAGGCGGTACCCCAGCCAACGCAGGACACGACTGTCAGAGGAAGACGTGTCAGCACAAGATTACGCGCACTCCAGTGGCATGATCACTTACCCAAGGATCCCAGGTTCCAGAGACAGTTGTAGACCGTTGTCAGGGGCGCACGGTGCTGGGGGTGGCAAATCTCAGTGAGCAAAAGGGGAGAGCACATTTGAGAGAATGAGTTTCCGAAACCGAGAACAAATCGGCCGCCCATGTACACTAAAGTTGAGACCGTCAGTCTTTGAAGATAAACATCACCTCCTTGTGACAATGCACTTACTTCCATAGCCATTGGCAAAGGCCGTGATCATGGCACCAACAGTCATGAGGAATGCGCCCAGCATAATAATGGGGCGACGACCAAATCGATCGGCAAGATAGGGTGTGATGAAGAAGGAAATAATGGAACCAATATTGTACATATTGATCATGATACCCAGCTTGTTGGCGTCCTTGTTCTCAGGGAAGTACGCCGCCCAGTAGTCCATTTGCTGAGAGGTATTGAGAAGCATTCCATCGTAGCCGGTGGTAGCAGAACCGACAAGAAGGAAGATGGACAGGAAGTACAGCTTTCGCAGATGGGGTTCCTTGTACCAAGTGACCCTCTCGAATCGAGGGGCGTCCCTATCGACGGTGCCCTCGGGCTGTTTGGTCAGGGTGACCATGACGGGCAGCGAGCACAATCGGCTGCAGAGATCAACAAAGTAGAAGATTCTAAGGTGTCGAACTGGAGATTGAGGCCGTCAGTGGTGATGGCTTTGGAGGAGGTTGCTAGTGCAAGCTACACAAGATTGGCGCTGGGGTGAGAAGATGCGAGGGAACTCGAAACAGATATGGGGAAAGAGAGTTTTATAAAAGTTTCCTAGCAGATCGTTCCCTTGGACGAAAGGAGCAAGCGACAAGTTCCCTCGGCGTTCTAACAGCTGAGGAGACCGGGATCAGGGACCGCCAAATTGACGGTGCCCTACCTAGTGGCGGAAAGGCGGGAGAGAAAAATCAATGGCCCCGAACTGCCCATGTGCCTTCTCCGGCGTCAAGCTGGTAATGGAGGGTCTCGTATGCGTCCATCTTCTGTTCTCCGGGGCATGTGGACGCAGGGGGGTCTGGCGGAGACCATCTCCCCAGGCCCCAGACCAGGTGAGACCACAACCGTTCTAGGTCCATGCGTGACAAGGGGCTTTCCAAACAAGGCATTTTGCTGGGGGTGTGGAGGGGGATTAAGGGAGGTTGCAATGGACGAGAGAGAACGGCTAGGCTCAGCACACGCACGCTCGCTGGCTCGCTTGCTGGTCTGGCTGTCGCTACAGCCTGAAGGAGGACTCCTGGTTAATGGATGGCTAATTACTGGCGCCCCCGGTGTAAGAGGATTGGTACATCAGATCATCGTACAATAGTCACCAAGGAGATGATGGCCAAAGTTGGCACCCATCCCATGATGTCGGGATGGACGCGCCACCAGATTGGCGCCCAAGCGAAGGCGGCAACAGTCTGCCAGTTCCGGTCCGTCGGCTCTGCTCGCAGGACTTCTGGACTGCTAGCTGTCAATACACATAGCTGCCATGCATCATTTTACGAAGACAGCTTAGTCCCAGGGATTCAATCCAGCTTAGATTGCTTGGGTCATTGTCAATGGGCTGGCCAACATCAGATCAGTCAGTATGCTGAAAACCTGGCCTACCTAGTGACCAAGCAGAAGTCGAATTGTGAGTGGCTTTCTGCGGATAGTGGCGAGAGACCTCGGCCAAGAACGGGTTCATTTGACCCAGATGGAATACTACAGATCTCCATTCAGTAGAAGGCGCGATTGGCTGCCCGCCGTCCAAAACTCCAAGTCAACCTGGGTAATTGAAGGGCACTTACAGAGCCAATCACTGAAACGGGTGGTAAGATCACAGGGTTGCAAGCTATCCCAAATCCAGCAAGGTATAGCAACCTGGCACATGGAATTCCCCAGCCTGAATTCTGGCGGGAGAGGTTGATCCGCCCCAGTGGGGGCTTCAGGCTATCCTCGACAGCCTTGATCATCATCGTCGAACAGAGTAGGGCAGCAGATACATGGTTGGTTAGATCACGCGAGAGGGGCCGGAAGGTGCAGATGGAGTGTTCGACACTCGTCTCAACAAGCTCACCTAGGCCGGGGCCGCCGCCCTGCGTCTGTCAACAGTCTCCATGTGACGCCAGACCCCGGTATAAGTTTATTAGGTATTATTAACGGGCAAGGTAGGCCTGGTGTGCCTTGCGGTTGAGAAGGGATGCGGATCGATTTCCTTGACAGGGAGACAAATTGTCCCGATTGCCTTACCGTAACGGTCAGCAATTACTTCAAATTTTTACCTTCAACGTGGGAGATGAAGGTGGGTGGCCAACTCTGCTCAGCTTGGCCCTTACCCCGGCCCAGGAAGAGCACCCTGGCTTCAAAGGTCACGGCTTCTGGTGTGTCGGCTACGAGGGCCGAAAACGCAGACCTCGAATGAGCTTACTTCAGGTCTGGGGCGGGAGGCTTGAGGAAGGGCCGAAAACCTGGGGCAACCGCTCGCAGTATTCAGGCCAATTCCTCGAGGGAAAGAGAGCGCTCTTGCGACCAAGGTCAGCCCTTTCTCCAGGCCCATCTCACGGTCTGGATATCCAACGCTTGATCGATCCACGGGTAAGTGTGGTTTCGAAATCTCCATGACTGTGCCTGTTTCATACCAGACTAGATGTAACCGATGCTTTTTGCCTAAAACCATCAGAGCGCATAGCTGTCGCACGTAGACGGGCAAATAGGCATCACGCGGATAAAGGGGATTGCCGGTGCCGCCTGCAAAACACCACGTCTCCACCACGGCGATGCGTCGAGAGTCGACACTAAGCGTGCCCGTCTCTCCCTCTCTCCACAGCCTGCATGATCCTCCTAAACGAGTCGAGTCCGTGCCAGGCAGGCTCGCGTGGCATCCTTCTCCCGTCGTCGCATCCGAGCCGAGATGCAATCAATAAAGGCCCCTCAGCAAGAACAATATCGGCACGCCGCCCGTGGCTTGGCGGGTAGCCAAGAGAGCCAGCGCTGATGCCAGAATACGGCATCTGATCTGCCACTCTCCCGATCCCTATGTGTCGATTGATGGAGGTGGGCCTGGCCGGTGCATTTGGCGTTTCGTGGTTGGGGGCTGGGCGAGGCGACGGCATTTCGGGAACGTCTCCGGCGGTGGCTCCCAAATCGCAGCTCGCCGTGAGCCTCTCGCTTGAGAGCTATCACCAGCGCAAGAGAGAAATTTCTGTCCTGTTCTTCTTTGTCATAGGTAATTTATTCTTGGCTCGACGATGGGGCGTAGGAGGAAGAAACAGCTGCTCGGTGAGATGGCTTGATTCAGTCTCTTGGGCAAGTGCACGAATGGATGCAGGAAGGTACGTACACACACATGACACACGCACCTTCCCTTCTGCCTCCGTCCTGATGCTACGCTCTGCTGCTCACCTGTCCAAGCTGTCACATCACGCAGCTACTGGCATTATGCATGCATATTCTGCTTGCGAAAGCTTCGTATCTTGTCAATCAATTGAGTTCTATCTATCAATTACCTAGCCGAGAGGCTCCAATTGCCGAGTTCGTAAACCTCCGTCGATCATCAAATCCATCCATTTCAACATGATCCTAGACCAGGACACTATTTCGAGGCCATAATAAGCAACAAGAATGGCGAAACAAGGAAAGCAAATGCCAAAAGGTAAACCCTAAACCAGGCGTAGCCAACGAGTCCTACTCATAGTGGTAGTGCGAGGCGCGCGTGAAACGCAGCACCCTTTGTCGTCGAGAAAGGAAGGACCATGTGCTTGCGCGACAAAGGGAACGTTGAGAGTGATGATAGAACACAAAAGGAAAATCCTTAGGAGAGGAGAGAGCTTTTATAAGGGCTGGTTGGACGAACCCTCAACTTACTCACAATCGCTCGCTCGCCTACACTTTCGGTTCAGCGACGTGGAAAGGACGAGATCCCGCAGCATCCTGAGAAACATGGCCAGCAACGCTCGGAAAAGCAAACCATAATCACCGACTTGTCGCCTACACTCCAACTTCGGTCATTGCGATATCTTCCTCCAAACCCAACTCTTCGACAGTGACAGGGGAATCGAATATTTCATCATCCCCACCCGTGTTGAGCGAATGGATACTGGCAAGGGCTTTCAAGAACTTGTCCTTCTCCCTCTTCAGCATCTCTCGCTTTGACGCGACGTCCGGATGCTCTTCCATCAGTCGCTCATATACTTCTCTTCCTGCACCTGGAAGAACGCCGAGCCGCTGGTTCAAGTGGAAGGACAACTTCTCTTTGATTTCCGGAATCATGCGGCAAATGATGCGTTGAGACACTGAATCTGCGAAGCGCAAAGCTGCAAGTTTATAATAACCCCTAATGTATGCAATAACCTTGACCTCACGCTCAAAAACGTCAGGGCCGATTCTTTGGAGGTCATCTTCACGACGCTTCGCGTCCTCTCGTCTCTTGGCCTCCGACATGGCCTCCCATTCATCCAGAGGCTTGGTTGCGCCATAGCCTTTCCATTCAAGGCGCATCTTGTGTCTAAAGCGCGTAAGAAGGATATGTTCGTCGTCGCGATACTTTGCCAAAGCCTCGTTATTGAATGTAAGGAGCCTTTGAGTCTCATCCAAGTAGATGAGCTCTGTGGCCTGTCGCGTTTCGAGGCTCTGTAGTTTCAAAAACTCGTCCAAGTGCTTATGGGCCTCCTTGTACACGATTCTCTTCTTGAGGCCATCAAAAGTCTCGGCCAGGACTTTGGCGAGCTCCCCGTGTATCTGGCGCATCGTCTCCTCCAGAAAGACCCTCATCGGGCCATCCCAAGGTTTGATAGCCTCCAGTGCCAAATCTTCATAGATTTCACCAGGGAGAATATCGGGCATTCCTGCTTTGGTCTTGCTCTCAATCTCCTCGCTCACCTGTCTTAGGGTGCGGAATCCACGGCCAATAGTGATGAATTGACTAAAAGGGGGAGGAATTGCTGGCTGCTTCGGCCTCGTAGGTGTGGGGGTATCACGCCCGCTATCCTCCGTCTTCGTTGGCAGAACATGATTGATATTGCCATTCGTAAGGGGAGTTGCTCCTCGGTGTCGCTTAGCTGCCGGCGTGGTAGGGGGGCCCATATGAGGCCGTTTTCCTGACCGGGATGGTGTGTTCACCGTAGGCGCATCTTCACCATCAGATGAGCCATCAGAGATTTCTAAAACCGGGATATCGGTCCGGTCCTTTAGAATGAACTTCGGCTTGATTTCCAGCAGGCACTGTCGAAAACTGCTGGGCAATGTGTTAAAGTGTTTTGTGAACTCGTCTATGCGCATGCGGGCGGTCTCAGTGAACTTGAGAAGGCTCCGCTGAACCTCGAGCTCTACATTGTCAGGAAGCTCTGGGAGCCTCGCCAGTTGACGATTGGTTTTTTCCAAGTTGATCCTGACTTTGTGGTCGATCTGTGGTAGACTAAATGCGGAGTTAGCTTAAATATTAGCTCGTGTTTTACTGTGCAATATACCTTTTGATGAACTCCTCGCCCAATTTGTTTGAAAGAAATTCTTTCAGGTTTTCAACTCCACACCGCTTGGAAAATGGATGAAACGAAGAGGGCCATTGTTCCACGGTGTGATTCTCAAACAAGGCTTCTTCCCACCTGGTCAGTTCCTCCAGGTCCTTGCCCTGCGGGCGAGATGTAATGAAGTAGCCAAGACCGGTACGATGTGCTTGGCCCTGCATTATCGACAACCACTGATCATGATTACCTTCTTGAGGTAATAGATCAGCCTTCGTCAGCACGCCGATGGAGCGATGCGTAGCTCCGAGCTTCCGCGTAAGGCCAAAGGTAAATGAATTCTCCGCGTCCGAATTCATCGGCATGGAGCACATAATGATGGCGGAAGGCTTCTCAATGTAAGTGCTAGACAAATTGCGAACGACGTTCACGAGGTAGTCATCCTTGGCGTCTGCTGGATTTTGGAAAATTCCGGGCATGTCGTAAAAGGAGAGATTAGGGAGCTCAGGGCCCTTGATCTCGAGTGAGACGACATTCGGTGAAAACTTGGCGGATGTCTCTTCCGCGGCTAACTGAATCGGCGTACTCATGGCTATCGCACCGGACCCGGGGACGTATGTCTGGGGCGGCTTGTCATCATTTAGGATGGCAACTTGTGCCCATCGGAGAACATCTTCAATATCGTTCTTGTCGTGAACAGTTTTGAACTCTTGGACGTGTGTGGTTGGTAGCTTCTGCCAAGGGAAGAACGGGTCTTCTTCTGTCACGTCGTCCTCGGTAATTTCACGGTCATTAGGAGGCGCAAACTCATATTCCTTTGAGAGGGAGACACGACAAGACCAGTCGCTGTTCCTGGAAACACGAATGTGCAGTGGGCATCTAGTGCAGGTGCCCTCGCTTCTGGGGAGATCCAGGTTGGCAAGGCCAGACATGACACTGGACTTGCCTGCGCTTTGGTCACCAACAAGAACCAGCTCAGGAAGTGGAACATCGTGTGAAACGCCGAGCCCTTGAAGTTCACCAAGAGTGTCGTTGCAGGCTTTGAGTCGCTTGCCGATATCCTGAAACGATGTGTGAAAGCTAAAGCTCTCATCATTGGTGATGGGGCTAAGCACAGTAACTGGATTTGGCCGGACCCTCATCTCTCTAAGAAGCGGTTCGGCTGAGGCAGTTTGCTCACTGGGAGGAGCTGAGTCAAGCCATAGACAGTTAGATATCTGAGGATAAATAAAAGAAAGGACTGGAATTGGGAACTTACGAGCATCCGAGCGCCTCTGATCCCGATGGTAGAAAGAACGGTTCGCATCCATGACGTTCGTAGCTTGGGTATGTTCAGTGACTACGGATGCACCAGATCGCCCGCCCGAGCTCTCCATCTTGATGTAGGACGCCGCACGGCGAGATCCTGGTGCCATCTCGCTAAGCTGCGCCGTACAAGGCGGTGGAGTTGGAACAGCCGAAAGAAGCGCGATGGGTTGTATTAGAGACGGGAGTGGATCTGAATGGGAAAGGTTGGATGAAAGTGGTTGAGATGGATGAGGAAGAAGAATTCAAGTTGAAGTTGGGGTATCAAGAAAAGAAGACAAGAAAAGGAATACAGCAGGGCAAACAATGAGAAAAGAAAGGCAGGCAGGCAGTTGCGATGCTCGCTTGCTGAGGCAAAAGCAGCCGAAAAGGTGAGAAATGTGTGATGGTGAGGTGAAAGCAGGCTGAGAGCCGCCTCTGGGCCAAGCAAGCCTGGCAAGCAGCCTCAATTGAAACTCCTGCCGGTGATCATATGCGATAGTGCCTTTAAAATCAGGCGCACATCCAGGCACACACACGCCTTATCAGCGCAGGAAAAATACAGAAGTCGGCGCTGGAGAAGGCTGCGTGTTCGACGGTGTAACCAGATAGCGCATGCAGGTGGTTTGGGTGGGTTGTACAGTCATGCGTCTGCACGCTGGTTAACAGAAATTAATGCCGTAGGGAGAAGCAACACCTGCGATGAGGCTGCACACGTTGGCAGGGGAAAAATGCAGGTGGTTGGTTGGGAGGCCCCTGCCCAGGCCGTGTGCTGTATTAGGCAACAAGAGCTTGTGCACCCTGTCTGTTTACCAAGACCCTGATTGCAGCTCCATAGCAACCATCAATCCACAAGCTCTTCTTGCTTTACCTGCCAAGCGACTGACATAAAACATCACACACCCATAACCTTCATGAACTCCAACACAATATCAATAATCAGCCTAGTAATGCACAATATCAAACTAAACATCGTAAAATGATTAAAAACAAAAACAAATTCTTGTTGTGTTTTGTATCAATAAGATACCAGGTCTGCCAATGTGCCAATAATTCCACTCTCTGCCCTGATCGCTGCCCCATTGGAGATGGAGCATCAACGCCATTGCCATCTGCTGTGGCAGCCGACCCGATCATTAGATAGGACCATACGCCTGTATAATCCGACTGGCCCTATTCGACTTGAACCCGACACTCAATTAACTCTACAGACTTCAAAGTCTGTCCCAAGCAACTTCCGCGAACCACCGAAAGAACTAAACCTTCGAGGCTCTAAATCGAAGGGGAAGTCGGATCAGAACAAGAGGAGACTATTCAACTTAGTGGTAGAGAAGAAGAAAAAAGGAGGCTTCAGATCATGAGTTTGAATTGGGCTAAAGACAAAAGGAAGCGGCTTAGTCTAGCTGTAGATATTAAAGAGCAAATCTAACTTTGTCTTTTGACGTGCATGTGAACTTTCGAGTCTGCGACCGGTACTGTTGGATTACTAAGTGCTAGTGATATATGCTTAAGACACAAAATAGTATATACTCTAGCGTGATTCGTTTTGCTTATGAATATCTCCATTCATTGTACATACCTTAGTGTTGTGTTTATAGGCGTCTCGTTTCTTCTGTCACCCAATTATTGTAGCGGGATAACACCGTGTTGCTACCCTACATCCATTTTTCTGTCATGCCCCTCTTCTCCTCTGCCCCGCTACTCAAGCCAGTAAATTGGTCACCGTAATTGTGAATTGACTGAAGAGCTCAGCTCCACCGCCAACTCCCCCGCCAACCTCCTTTATCTCTTACGTATCATCATTCGCCCTCATTCTCTTGGTTGGCAACACCAGATTCTTCGTTTGGTGAAGCAGCACCTCCCTACTCTCCCCTCCCCCATCCCATCTTCCCAACCGCTCACATCCCCCCTCCCAAGCACTCATGTCGCTCCAGGTTCCCCATCGCCCTAAGGAGGGCTCAACCAAGGCCGTTATCCTGGTAAGCTCACCGCGACACTCCCTCCGCGGCCACCTTCCAATTCCCAAGCTCCAGCTGAGGAAAACACCACCGTACACACCCAGCAATTCCAATTCTAACATGCTGTCTTCCCTCTAGGTCGGTGGTCCCTCCCGAGGCACTCGCTTCCGTCCCCTCTCCCTCGATGTCCCCAAGCCCCTCTTCGAGGTCGCCGGCCACCCCATCATTTGGCACTGCATCTCTGCCATTGCCGCCGTGGGCTCCATCCACGACGTCTACATCATCGGATACTACGACGAGTCAGTCTTCCGCGACTTCATCAAGGACGCCTCTAAGGAATTCCCCGTCCTGAGCTCCATCAAGTACCTCCGAGAGTACGAGGCCCTGGGCACCGCCGGCGGCCTCTACCACTTCCGTGATGCCATCCTCAAGGGCCGCCCCGAGCGCCTCTTCGTCCTCAACGCCGACGTCTGCTGCTCGTTCCCACTGGCCGACATGCTCAAGCTCGCCCAGGACAAGGACGCCGAGGCCGTGATCCTCGGCACCCGCGTCTCCGACGAGGCCGCCACGAACTTCGGCTGCATCGTCTCCGACGCCCACACCAAGCGAGTCCTCCACTACGTCGAGAAGCCCGAGTCGCGCATCAGCAACCTCATCAACTGCGGCGTCTACCTCTTCTCCACCGAGGCCATCTTCCCCTCCATCCGCTCCGCCATGAAGCGCCGCCTCGACCGCCCCGCCCGCCTCCTCTCCTACCCCTCCTCCGACAACCTCGAGACCAGCTACCTCCACGCCCAGGCCGCCGACGACGACGACGATGACGAGGAGGGCCGCAAGACCGAGGTCATCCGCCTCGAGCAGGACATCCTCGGCGACATGGCCGACAGCAAGCAGTTCTTCGTCTACGAGACCAAGGACTTCTGGCGCCAGATCAAGACTGCCGGCTCCGCCGTCCCCGCCAACGCCCTCTACCTCCAGCGCGCCCTCCAGTCCGGCAGCGAGGAGCTCGCCCAGCCCAGCGCCAACATCGTGCCCCCCGTCTTCATCCACCCCACCGCCGACATCCACCCCACCGCCAAGCTCGGCCCCAACGTGAGCATCGGCCCCCGCGCAGTCGTGGGCGCCGGCGCACGCATCAAGGAGTCCATCGTCCTCGAGGACACAGAGGTCAAGCACGACTCGTGCGTCCTCTACTCCATCATCGGATGGGGCAGCCGCGTCGGCGCCTGGGCCCGCGTCGAGGGCACCCCCATCCCCGTCACCACCCACTCCACCAGCATCATCAAGAACGGCGTCAAGGTCCAGAGCATCACCATCCTCGGCAAGGACTGCGGCGTCGGCGACGAGGTCCGCGTCCAGAACTGCGTTTGCCTGCCCTACAAGGAGCTGAAGAGGGTAAGTCTCATCCCCCCAACCCTCAAAAGTGTGTGCTCTACCCATACTGACATCTTAACCCCAGGACGTGGCCAACGAAGTCATCATGTAAGCTGGAGGCTTATATGGAAAGATTCAAACCCCCTACCCTCAACTCAAAATTCAATTCTTATGGAGAAAGGACTCTGAAAGTTCTCCGTATGAGAATGAGTCAATGGAGACATGCTCTATCAAAAATACCCCTTTATATCCCAAAAACTTCCCTTTCCCATGCACCAAAAATCTCACTTAGCTGGGCATTATTATGCCCATGATCATGAACCGCCTCTCGCTGATAATAGACCAAAACAAGCGAGCCCCAAAATGAAGACTTTTTTTTCTAATGCTTTCCGGGGTGTGAAGACCAGACCAATGATGAAATAAAAAATTGAATGAAGACAAGAAATCCTTTTAAAATCGTGTCATCTAGATTCCATTTATAATGCTACACATCAGAATCTACCTAGATCTCTTCTTAATTTTTACTTCCTCCCGCCCAACAACCGAAACCCAAACCTGCGTCTCGTGCTGTGCTCCCATGTTCCTCCACCGCTCGGCCGTCTCGAATCATCAACTCGTCTCGTTCAATCCAGTATGCATGATGGATATGCCCTGTTTACCACCTCGGACAAGCCGCCAATGCCCTACTTGTCAAAGTTTCCTCCCTCCTGGTATAACATGCGTCCCTATCAAGGACACAGAAAAAAAGAACGCCGCTAGTGATCTCGTGGGTGTCCCCAAAAAAATGCAGGCTATGAATGTTTTAACGAAAGAAGAAAGCCCCATTAAGACAGACAAGAACGGTAATAGTCGTTAAGAGCCTTGATCCAGCGCCGCTGGGGCGTCTTGAACGCAGAAAACCCAAGTCGCCTCCGTGTGATTCCCTGAATGCTGAAAAGCCCCATTAACGAAGGGATGAAGATGTAAGAAAATCAATAATCCTGAAAAGAGTCCCGACCTTCGTCTAGTCATAAGAGACAAAATAGGAATCTAAGTTTTGACCTCCCTGATGAGGTCAACATGAATGTGATAATTGCTGTCGATGAATCATCGAGCTCAACCTCTAAAATCGCTTAAAGGATGATGCAGGTGTAAAAAAAAATGTAATAAGATAGCGAATGGAAGTGGGTATCGTGAGACAAAGAGAGATAAAAACAAAACGATAGTCTGATGCACGTGGGATTTTAAATCTTATTCATCCCGCTTGAAATTTGATCTGCTTGCCGTCCGGGGCAGCATGGGGCTAGCAGGTCGGCTGGACGTGAGTCCCAGACCCTTGGTCTCTAAGGGGTCAAGCAGGCTGAGCCTGTTGTGATCTTGGCGAGGCGTAGCAGATAGCCGAGGAGTCATAACGGGAGTAATGGCTGTCTTCTCAAGGCTGGCGATTCGGATGGGTGGTGGGCGGCGCTGGCCGGGCATCTTGCGATCATTAGGCAGGCTGTAAATGTACGTGGAAAGGAGGACAAGGCCCGTGCCAATGAGAAACTGGAACCGTGGTTGTTAGTAAAGCGTCAATCGACGAGCGGGGGTGAAACTTACAGTCCAGGTGACAGCAAAATCAAAAATCATCACGCTCGCCAAGAAGCTGATGACAATGCTGATGCTTGTGGCGAAGTTCTTGACAATGTTGTCCGCATCCCTGATGACCATGCTGGCAACCAAGCCTCCGACCGCTTGCAGTCCAATTGCCGTCCAGACGACCCAGTTATACCCTTCGAAAAATCCATGCTCGCGGATCCCCTCACCGTCCTGCCAAAATACACCGCCAAACAGGGATGCAACGAGAGAGTAGAGGCTGAGCTGGATGTTGCGCACCCACACACTGGCTTGCGTAGGGCTCTCCTTGAGCAGCTTCTCAAAGTACACACCTGTGAACCCAGAGACAGCCGCGGCGATAAGCACACTGGTTACGCCAAGTGAGTAGTTCATGAGGGGCTCTGGGGGTGCCAGGTCCTCTGTGATACCCTCGTACGTTGCAGACCGCTTCGTGCGAAGAGACCTACCCTTACGTTCCTGGCCTTCCTCCGTCTCCGTAGCCTTGGTCTCAATCACAGGGGCTCTGGTTTGCCTGGCATTGGTGCGAGTGACCTCAGTTGCCCGCTTCTTTTGCTCGGCCAATTCCTCCTCCTCGCGTTTAGCAAGGATCTCGGCCAGCCAATTCCCTTCCAGGTCCTCTTCTTCGAAAGCACTCGTGTCGCGTTTTGAAAGGTACTGGGGTGACTGAGGCTGATACAACTCGGGACTTGCCTGACCCAGCTCGTGCAAAGAACGGGGAAAGAAATGGTCAGTTGTGTCGTGGAGGAAGAGCGAGGGCACGGATGAGTTCGGAGGCAATGACACGACGCAGACTCCGAGCGTAAGAATGATGAGAGCCCCCTAATGCTTGAGTCCGAGCGACCGGCGTAGCAAGATGACACTGAAAAGGGCGGTGGTGAGAATCTTGAGCTGGTAGAGAACCTGGAATTGAACGGCGTCCAAATTTCCGATTGCGACGTATTGCAGGAGGTTCTGGAAGGTGTATAGCGCGGCAGGCACAGCGAGTTTCCATCCGTCACCGTTGAACACCGAATTGTAGATCTGCTCGAAGAGGACTGTGGCCGGGGTGCTGGGAGCCAGAGTCTTGGATGTCTCGTACATGGCGAGGGTTAGAGAAATGGAGAGCTTGATGAGCTCGTTGAGGAATACAGCTGTTGATGTGAAGTAGCGGTGGTCGCCATTCGGGGGCATGATTCGTGAGTAGTGCATGACCTATCTACAGTATTAGCCGCCGATTCGACCTCCCAGGAAACAGAGAGCCCTCCCAACGGTAGGCTCTCTAGCAAGCTTGTCACACGTACCAGCATAAGAGCGGAATTTTGAAATGTCAGCTGCAAAAATAGAAGGGAAACGACGGAGGTTAGTCATACGATACGATACGACCCGGCGCGCGGGGAAGATGTGCGAGCGCACTCACAGTGACCAAGGACAGCATTTTAGAAGTGCCTCCCTTCGGGGAAGCGTTCGCCGGTAAAGCCCCCATATTGTCGCTTGGTGTCGCTCGCCGGTGCAAGCGCAGAGCGAACGGGTCGCACAGAAAACCGAACAAGGAGCCGAGACTGAGAGATCGCTCTCGAGACAAAACGGTGGGCGGCGGCAAGGCGGGAATGGCGCTGCGCCAATGCAAAACTCGGTCGGAAGCACCGCGCAAATAGTTCCGGTGGTCGGGTTCGCTTGTCGCAGTCGTCTCTGGACAGGCCGTTTCGTCGCAGACCTGATTGTTGCGTATCGCTCCCCTGGTCGCGTGGCAGAGGTTACGAATTGGGATTGAATGGATAGGTATAGGATGGTCGTTGCGTCCGCGTGGTCACCAATTAAATCCCCAGGCCCCTTTTAGATCCCCAGCAGGTCGAAATTGTAGTTGCAGCCCCGTTGGAAGTTGGTCCGAGATCCAAGACAAGACGAGACTTTTCGCCACCGCCAATTGAAGCTGCTCTGGCGCCCAGGAAGACCCGGAACTTTCGTGGCTGCTGCGTCGAGTTAGAGGGAGCTGGCACGTGGTGCGCTGAGTTGAGCCGGGGGAATAGCGTAAGGAGCGGAAAGAAAGGAATGACAAGAGTAGAGGGTGAGGAAAGGAGAAGGGGAGCAGGAGAAAGTGGTTGTAGCCAGAGCAGATACTGGGAGATGGGGTCTGTGTGTAGGTGGGAGTCTGTGCGAGAGGGGATGGATCAGTTTAAGGACGATGGATGAGAATGATGACGGCGACGACCAGCAAGGCCAGGCCAGGCCAGGCAAGGAAAGGCATGCAGGAAAAAGCTGCACTGGGCTTCGGAGTGGAGATCAATCGACTGCGCTGGTGCTCTGTACTGCTACCAGAATTAGTAGCTAGGCCCAGGAGGTAAGGTAGGTAGCGAGTCCCTAGGCCCCCTTCTAAGGCCCAAAGGACCATGGCGCGCGGCAGGTCGACACCAACAGGCGAGCAAACATGGAGGCCAGCACGGCCGGGCATTGCTCCATGAGCCAATCGACGCTGCGTCTGGCCTGGGCAGGGGGCCTGGCACTTGTCTGGGATGCAGCAAAGGCAAAAAAGGCACTTGCGCTGGGGCTTGGGTGGCGTGCCAGTGGATGGGCCTAGCTGGTGGGGACGGCGAATAGAGCGTACCTTACGAACCAAACGCTGCTGCCCGCCAAGCCAGCCCTTGGGAGCTGCCGCCGTGCTGAACCTGCTCCCCTCTAGGCGGTGCCCACTGGGAGACGTCCACCGCCCCTGTGAAACTCCCTAAACTCCAGTCATGGCACATTGGATTAACCCATCAAGGTGTGGTGGCGGCTGGCTTGCCCTCCTCTGCCAAGTTCTGGGCTTGAATCAGGAATGCACACCTGCATAATACTTGATGCCCACATCCATTGTACATCGTGCATTTCACCGCCGCCTGTCCACTCGATGGAGCTTGAGGAGCGGTCGCCAAGCTGGCTGATACGCCCAAAACTGTATGTGTTGTGCCATAAGAGACCTCCTCCTTGGCTTGGCGCACAGATCATCGCCGGCATGTCTCTCGCTCTCGGCAGACCAGAGTCAGGCGGCCCATGGCGTTTAGCATTGGGAACCACGTAATCCATTCCTCCCTGCCTTTGAGTTCATGGCTCTCACCCCGGAGTAATTCAAAGACAGTTGGGATGGGATGCTAGGTATGTACAATCCTCTGCGCCGGGCAAAACTCCCTGATTCGGTCCCTGAGCCCCCTGTCGCCAGGCCCTATTTTTACTCCGCGGCCGTGAAGGTGCATTGGCCGTCGCACATGGGAGGCTCCAATTGACCGTTGGTCCCGACTCCCTCCAGCACAATTGGTCGATCATCTCACCTCCTTGCCCAGCTGCCAAGTCCAGCTGTTTTCTCCTAGGCCGCCTAATTAGACCGCACGGCCCAAAAAAAGAAACAGGCACGAGAGCACCAGAAGGGAAGAAGAAAGCAGTGAGATCCAATCTCCCGCCCAATCTCCATCTATCCCAAAGAGGCCAGTCGTTCACGCGAGCTTGCAGGCATCTGAAAAGCCATCCTCGATAGTCATAATGTAGCTATTTCCCCAGGAGCGATGCATGATGCCCTCTTGCGCAAACTATTACTCAAGTCCTCAACGTGTCTCCAATCGGGCCACGCCCACCAGCTTTGTCCTAATTTGCCTCCCCCCCGCCTTTTCTTCTCCCTCCGCTGCCCAACCCCTTGCTTTTTTCTTGCTTCTCCTCCCTTGATTCACTCCGTCCCATCTCTCCACACGACTGACTCTGTTTGCGCAAGCCCCGGGGCACTCGCGAGCAAGCTTCCGCCCTCTAATTAGAAAGCAACTACCGAGCTGCCAGTCCCGCATCGCCCTCGCCCGCAAAGCTCCATTGTCACGAGACATTGCAGCTTTTGAATAGCAGTATCAGTATCAATGGATTCTTCCTTTTTTTTCTTCCTTCAACTGAATGGAATCTGCAAAATGTATAGCGCCCACTCCACGTATCAAGAACGGCGGCTTCAACTAGAGGCGCCATTGTTCCCTCAAACAATGGCGCATCCCTGGTTTGGCTCTCCTGCCCGTTCTTCCCCTCCAGATCCACCCAAGTGGGTGAAATAAAAACATGGCACATCGAGATAGTTCAGCACAGAAATTCAGCACAATATCACAAAAAATAACCTAGTACTCAATACTATATCAAGCTAAATAATATAGAATAGTTTATTATTCTCTTCTTATTGTGTTTAGTTAAAAAACAAGGTCCCTGTCTCACGCAGAAAGAGCTTTGGTGTGCCACGTTTTATTTCACCCACTTGTCACCTCACCCATGATAGCTACCCTATACCATCCATCCCACTCATTCAACATCATCAAATCGCAAACAACACCATCGATCACGACCCATCGATCACGCGCATCCCTCTCCTCCCACGTGGCACAGTCACTCTAACATCCATATGCACGTATATTCCTGCCCCTTGACATCATATACAACCAAAACTGTACAACAAACCCCAAAGACACAACCCAATCAGGCACCGACAACTTCCCAGTTTTCCAGGAAGAAATGTCGGTGTCCAAATCCGTGCCTTGATTTTTTAACCCAATCTTCTCTCACCATTCCCAGCAGCCTCCTGCCTCCTGCCCCTGTAGAGCTGAAAAAAAAGCCATGTACCTCACCCGAGCCCGGGGTTTCCTGCACCACATCACATCGTACAGTCAATACCTAAGCCAAGAGTGCCCAGATGCAGGCCCACGTCACGGATATGTATGTGGTGGACGCACAACGACGACGCTTGCTCGTCTTCCCACACCTGGCATAAACCGGCCTAGTTTTTGGCCGGAGCCTGGCGATGACCACCTGATCGCTCTCCCCAACTATCTCGCATGAAGGCTTGCTGTGTTCCTGTTCAATAAAGTATCCAGACACAACATCCATCCCTCCATGACCCTGAAATTGGTCTTGGCTGGCGGAGGAAAACTTCCGTGATTCAATGCCTCGAGTACTTGTCTGGCAGCATCATCGTCTGTGAAACGAGACACCAGTGACGACATCTACTTCAGACTACTTGGCTAGCACGCGAGTGATGGCGTGCTAACAATTTAGTCTCCGTGAGTGGTCCGCTCAAGTACGCAGTCATCACATTGCATTATGGCATCTTGTTCGATAAACCTGGGCAGAAAGACATGCTCGGCAAATAAATTGCAGCTATCTTGATTTGTAGTAGCAAGTTGCTCGTGTGCTAAAACACAGATCCACCTGATGATTCCAAGAAGCAAAGTAGTTGTACACAACAACTGGATATAGAAGACCCAAAGATCGTATCCTCAACTTGTCCTCTCGTTCACCAACTCCACGTGTGGACCCTGCCATCTATCCATACATTCCTACACATCCATCCCATCCCTTTCACTCCCCGAATGAAATGATGGAACGTTGGTTTCCAGCAAGCATTCAAAATAAATGAGATGGCGTAAAATTACGCTCGTCAACGACCGTGTTTCCAGACTGCAGTCCAGGTATATGTGCCTGTCGGCTGATGTCCTCACAAATCCAAACCCAGTGTGAGTGATGTTTCTCCATGCCCAAGGCGACGTGGTAGAGCAGCACGCTGATAACCGGAGCTGGCGTTGGTTCCGGAAACTTTGGCTTGATGCCTCGAGTGACCCTGCGGGGGGTTCCCAGACGATATCTTGGGAATCTCCTGATGGTACGGACACCGGGAATGGAATCATCCTCGTCTACTGGCTGGGCGTCACAGTGCTCTCTGAGGGAGTGTTGAATAAGGGCTTCATGGCCCTCGCTTTGGAAAAAGGCGACTGATCCGAGTTGGGTTCTCGGGCCAAGGCAATTGACCGCCTTAGTCTGCACACCCTTCATGCACTTCTGCTTCCAGTCAGTACCAAAGTTTACAAGATTCCCACCAGCTCTAACGAAAGGAATGCCAAAACCGGAATGTAATACCATAAAGTCGTGAGAATGACCGCCGTCCATGTTACAGGCTACAAGGTCACAGGTACCAGCAGCGCCGTCGAGTGGGGACATCCCCTTTTCTGCGCGGGACGAGTTGGGTTTGGGCAGGTGGCTGCTTGCATCGTCTAGCCAGTAGAGTCGGGGTCCGGCAAGCCAGCCATAGCCAATGTCGTGGTTCTTCATGAAGCGGAAGACATCGAATTCAATGAGTTCGGTGAAAAGTGCCTGTTATCAACCACAACGTAAGCCCAAGGTAGAAGGGAGATTGAGGGATTCTATTGATATCGGTGGAGGGGTAAGGGGTAAGGGGTAAAAGGTGCAAGAGAAAGAAGGTGCAAGGGGAAAAAGTGTGAAAGGAAAAAGGTGCCAAGGGAAAGAGATCTGAGGTGGAAAAAGGAAAGCACTCACGCCTGGCTCAACTCGCCAGAACCAGTCATAGTCTCTCATCCTGCCTTGCTTGGCGAGAAAGTCGAGACTGTGGTGGGCAGGGCATCGATGACAGTGTGCCGGGCTGGCCAGGTCATGCGATTCATTGAGAGAGTGGTTGCAGGGGGTGATGACTTCGTAGAAGCAGGCGGACGTGGTGGCAGCAGAGACGACCTCGCGGAAGTCCTCGTTGAGGGGCTTGGTGCTGAAGAAGACCCAGGGGTACTGGAAGCGGGAATTGAAAGACTCTTCGAGCTGACGTATAGACACTCCGAGGTCAGAAAGATCGCTCTCTTCAACAAGAGCTACAAGTGCCGCTCGAGGAGATGATTCGGAAGGGGGGGGAACAACGTCAAGGGTCTCGGCAGGTGATGGTGACGATTGCTGCATCGCCCACGTGAGGAGCGGAAGCAGAATCAACGGGAGAGCCAGTCTCATGCTGGGGAAATGTAATGAATAGAACCTGAATGGAGGGAAAATGTGTCTCTCACGGTCATCAAGAGGCGAGAAAGGAATGACGCTCAGCTGCCAATAGGTGGAGGAGCGGCTCGATATGAGGAGGGCAGCAGCTTAGGTCGAGTAAATTGAAGGTATCGCGAAACGCGTCGAGTTGAAGGAACGAAGTTGAAGAGAAGTGAATTGGAGAGAAGAGAAGAGGAAGAGGTGGCCGACGAACCAGTTCGAAAGTGCACCTATTGATCAAGAATACTGTTGCATTGAAGGAGAGGCGTGGGTGAGGGAGAAGTGAAAGTCAGAAGAAGGCGAGAGGAAAGTGAGAGAAGAGGAGCGGGGGAGGAGAGAGAAGGAAAGAGAGGGAGGGCGGGATCGAGCGAATGGGTACCTGAGGTTCTACAGCAGAGAGGAGCGAACGCGGTGCGCGAGTGCGAGCGCGTGAGGGGCGAGGGCAGTTGCCATCAGCTGCTGCCACCTGCCCGCGGCCGACCGGTGTGAGGACGAGACGACAGTGAGTCGCACTGTTATTCCTCTGTGAGTGCGGTTATTGTTCTCTTTACTGGTGGTGGTCTGCCCATCTCCAACTGGGCTACGGTTTCTAGACGAAGAGCCTCGGAAGTCCGAGGCCCAAACACAGACAGGCAAGCAAACATGAGCAGTCACTGGCAGCCAGGGACACGAATCTGTGTTCGACAGGCGATGCCCTCGGTGTACAACGGGACACTCAAGCATCGAGACAGACGAGGAGTGCCCAGGGAAACATGTGAGTTCAGTAGTATACTCTCCCTATACGCTCTTACTCACAGATAACATGTGCCCAGGCGCCGTATCAAAATCAGCCAGGCTTGAGCCACCAGTAAATAGGCAGAAGCCGCTACCCAGCACTCGCCTCTATCTCTCCCAAACGCCCAACGCTCCTTGCTTGTGCCAGTGAGCCGTGCAACCGGCCGCGTCCTCGACCAGCGTCACAACAGTTACGAAGCGTCTCCAAACCTCGGGCGAGGTCAACTAACCCACGTGAGGCTCTTCACGCCCCTCCAATCAGGAAACCCCCAACAGGGTGCTCACCGGTTATCTTCCGCGGTGGGCCACTCCCATAGGAAAACCCGGGAAAAGGGCAACCCCGTCCCACGCCAGAGGACCGATCGACTGGCCTGAGGTTCTTTACCATTGCCGGGGGTGTAACGGGGCCAGGACAATACTGTCCGAGCACAGCCCTCCTGCTGGAGTGACGGGTCTATCGCCGTGCCACTCCATTATCATCGCTGGCTGATAACGGGCAGGCAGGGAAAAGAAGCAGTTATACCGGCCCGAGCGGCACATCACACAACCTGAGAAGGCACATCGTCGCACCAAAACGCCATTCTTCCCTGCCAGCCGCATACGTCATGCACGTGCGAGCCCAAACGAGGCAGACCTTGCTTCCTTGCAAGGCGATATCCCCATCTTCCAAAAAGTTGCAGTTACACCATGCACCCGGGCCACGTGCGTGAAAGATACAAAGGGAAGCAGCATGCAATGCAGGCTCCTTTTTGTTCATTGATTGATTGCTCCGTGTGTGTCATCTTATCTGCTCCCTCGGGTCGTAGGCTGAATCCGTAGTTGCACACCCACGCCGACCATTCGCTCCTCCCATCCTCTATGATACATGGTCTCCTCCTTGCCACTTTCCCCTCATCCCATGTCCAAATCACTTATCGAACCTTTTCTTGAAACTTCCCTGTCTAGACTCCATGCCGGAACGCCGAGCGAAAAGAGAGAAAAAAAGAGAAAAAAATCAAAACGTAATGGAAATACAAAAATAAGGTGGGCTAATCACCTGAAGGATAAACCGGCTCTCTCAAGACAACACAAGGCATCCTTCGCTGCCTGACGAGTAAAAAGAAGGACGGATGATGATTATGTTACAGTTGCTGCGTGTTGTGCAAATCAGCTCTCGTCCATGGCTTCGACTTCAAGCTGCTCCTGATCAAGGTTGAGGTCAAGTACGCGGGCGTACTGCAGCGTCAATCGTTGTAATTCCCTATATTTGCCTGCCGAGGGTGTTAGTACTGCCCGAGACCGGGGGGAGAGATGGACGAGTTCATGCTCGCCCGAGAAAGGGGAATCTTACCAAGAATCATGATCACTCCCTTCAACAGCTCCTTGCGATCCCATCCACAGATGTCGTCTTCCTTGCTGTACCACCCGCGACCCTCGTTGGCGTCACGCTTTCCTTTTCCTTCCTGTAAGATGCCACCCATGAGCGAGCTAAGCAGCTCCTCTACCTTGGTTTGCGCCCCTTCGGCGCCTAGGCGCTTGGCGTACATGAACAGGTACAGCCTGAACTCATCGTGTGAGCCAAGCTGCAGTGCTCCCGCAATCCTATTTTCTAAATGGGCAATGCTGACGCTGCTCTCGAACCCATCTCCCTCCCTCCGTTGTATCACAGTCTTGATGATGCGCTGGAGGGCGTACGCCCGACCCTTGAGCAGGAACTCGTTGGTGGTGTGACGCTCGAGGAAGGGAATGATGCCGGATGACACCGACGGTGTTGATGCCTCCTTGTCTTTGGCGGTTGCGCTATCCTTGGAGACCGGGCCGACGGCGGTAGATTGCAGTGCAGAGATGGATGAGTCGTTGGAATTCCAGTACTGTGAACCGACCGCCCACCATGCCTCGCTCAACCTCTGCCACGTGAACATCTCGCGCGAGTAGTAGTAACCGTCGCCGTTTGTTAATGTGACGATGACGTGACCGGTCGAGTTGAGGTGCGCCGAGGTGACGCCCGGGGCCGGTGTCGCTGTGTGCTGGTTGAGCGAGGACGTTGCGATGTCCAGAATCGGAGCGAGAGAGAATGGGGGGCAAGGCGAGGATTGTTGACGGAGATCCCACACGTGGACGAGCCCGACGGCTGTGATACACAGGAGCCAGTGGTCTCGGCACTCGAGGATGACGGGTTGGGCATCAAGCACCATCGGGTTCAGCAGACGTCGACCTGCGGGTGTCCAGACGTGAATTGTCCCATCCTCACACGCGACTGCCCAGAAATTCTTGTTGGCGGTTACCAAGATGACAGCCCTGGGCAAAAACTCTTGCCAGACCAAAGCTCCTCGCTTGGTGACAAGCACGTGAGACGGGTCTCTCGGGTTGGGATCATTCTTTGCCTCCATGATTATGTGCTCGGTCGTCTTGGATGCGTCATCCAATGTAGCTTCACCGCGGAGGATGCCTCGCTCAAGCGGCCTTAGGATGTGTGATCTGATCTTGGGGACTGCCAGGCGCACTTGTGCGAAAGCGATGGAGGGGCTCAGAACAGCTGGGCGAAGGAATTCAGGTGTCGGGACAACTCCGTTTTGGGTGGGCGTTAATGCAGCAGGCTCGACGCTGCCGTTGGCACCACTCTTGACGATGGGCATCAGTCCCGTCGTCGTTCGTTTCGTGACTGGTTCATCCTCATCCTCATCATCGTCTGCCCCAAACTTGCGCTTGTTCCCTAATAGCATGGCTGCGATGCCACCCTTGGGTAGTCCATCGAACGGCTTGGAAAGGTCAAGCATAGTCAGGGGAGCATCGTTTTGAGTGGACTTGGATGCCGCTGAACCAACAAGCTGGGTCTGTGGTAGTGAGGATTGCCCTGTCCCTGACGATGAGACGAGCATGGGTGCTACTCGTTTCTTGCCATCTTTTCCGATTGTAACCCGTGCTTTCATCTCCTTCACCCGCTCCTCTGTCTTATCGGTGCTCTCCTTCTTTTCCTCGGCAGCCTTGTCAGCAGCCTTATCGCCAGGCTTGTCTGAATCCGTATCACCGTTTGTGGCAGCTTTATTGGACCCGGCCTTGGAGCCATTCGTGGCGGGGGTTGCGTCTTTGCCTGAATCAGGCTGGAAGTCACCCATGAGCGCTCCCATTCGTGACTCCACGGCCTTCGATTCGCCTTCTTTGCTTTTGTGCTCCAGAGCTAGACCCTGAACATCCTCTGCGATTCCCATGCCCTTCCTTGACACGCCGTACTTCTGCAGTGCTCTGTCGTTCTCCTCTGGTTGCGCCACCCAGCCCAGTTCCGCATTCTCGAATTTGACAACGATGATGCTGCCATCCAGCGTCGCGGCAAAGATGGTCTGACCATCTGGAGTCCAAGAAAGATCGGCAATCGCCTTGCCAGCCATGTCCTGCAGGATAACGACTGGCCTAGAAGTATTAGTATTCCAGATGCAGAGCGTTTTGTCCTGTCCGGCGGATGCTATCACCGTCACAAGCTGACCATTCTCCTCTGCGTCGGGCTCATTTGGATTGACAGTGTGGAAGAGTCGCGGCGAGAACATGCAGACCTCGGTGGGGCCCTCGTGGCCGATGAGGTTGATTTCGCTGTCCCAGCGCGTGCGCTCAATGATGGCGACAGAGCTAACCGGGCCATTCACGGCGTTGGATGCTGCGATGTGGTTACCGTCAGGGGACCAGGAGCACCGCCTGAAATACGTGGTGAGGGGGGAGCTCTTAAAGGGAGTTTGGATGGTGTGTTCGTGGACAAAGTTGTCAACCATGTCGGTCGCCGTGGCATTGGGCCCCGGAGAGGTGAATCGGAAGATCTTGATGGTGCGGTCATCGCTGGCAGTGGCGAAGAATTTGTTGGCTGGATCGAAGGTGATGCCCTTGACGTGGCTGCCGTGGGCGGAGATGACTCGCAGCTTTTCGAAGTTGTAGCCTGACCATACGACGATCTTGGAGTCGAGACCGACCGAGACGAGCAGGGAGGAGTCGTGGGACCAGGCGAGATCTTGAACATCGTTGTCGTGTCCAATCAATCGCTTATACGTCTTCCAATTCTCAACGGGCGGAGGCTCGTTGGTCCCAAATATGGTGGGGGGAGGGTTCTTGTCGAGATGATAGATGCAGATCATTTTGTCGTCGGCGCCACTGGCGAGATAGCGGCCGTTGGGAGACCATCGCACGGAGTGGATGGTGCCCAGGTGGTGGCTCATGTGGGCAAGCTGTCGGGGCTTGTTGTAGTCGGGATCTTCTGCGTTGTAGATGGCCTCGGTAGACCAGATTCGCACATGGCCATCGCCGCCTGCTGTGGCCAGGCGCTTCCCATCGGGGGAGACATGACAACTGTAAACCTCGAAGTCCTTCTGCTCGCCGCTATGGCTCAGCCATGACGGCTTGATTATTCGCATGGCGACGGCCGCATGGACGGTCTTGCGCGGCTTGAATAATTTCCTCTTCCCTTGGGAAGCTCGCAACGGAAGGCGCAGGAAGGTCGGCTCGATGGGCGGATGGGATGCTGCGCTGCGCTGCGATGGGGAGATGATTCGCAAGACGGGAATTGAATTATGTGGTGGTTTCTTTGCCCAGGCTGAGAGACGCGCTTTTCCCTGGCGCGCTGCTCCTTGTCCACGCTCAGGGTAGGTCCCCACTTTATTAAATGGCACGGCCAACGCTCCATCGCCAACCGCTTATCGCAAGAAATCTCAGTGTGCATGAGCTGGAGCCATCGGATCATCTTTATTCCGGAAAATGATGTAACTCCTCCAGTTGCTTGAGTTTAGCTGATGATGCTAACCCAGCGCAAGTTATATAAACGGGCATAGTATAGGTAATTGTAAGGAATGAGCGGAGGGATATTCTCTCATTAAACCAATCGTGGCTACTATATCTACTCTTCTATGTTGACTCAAAAAATGCTTCAAGGACATTGCTCGCTAGTGCGCAGGTATATTCGACCCCGCCATTCATTAATCTTTTTGCGTTCCGGGGATATCTGTTGCTCATAAACCATCCTGGCCAAACAATTCCAATAACAAGAACGCCGTGCTATGCCGCATATTAATCTCAGATCCAAACACCTGAATCATCCAGCCTCGGATCTCTCTGTGAGAACGGGAGCGTAGGCTTCCTCTATGCGTCCCGAGACTGCTCCTCCCCTCGCCGCTCCTCCATCATCCGCCTCTCCTCCTCCTGCATGGCCGTCTTGACCACCAGCGCGTCCAGGTCCAGATCCGCCTCCCAGGCCAGCATCCGGGTCCTCATCGCCCCCTCCACGACCAACTCCTCGACCAGCCGCCTCACCTTGCCGTCCGCCTCCACGATGCTCTCGTTGAGCTTGTCCAGCGAGTTCCACCGCACCATGTGCCGCGCCGCCGAGTTCCACGCGCTCGCCGATGCGCACACGCAGTTCATCTCGAACTCGAGCACCCGCCTGTACAGCCGGAGCACCTCATCGCGCGCCCGCGTGCGCCGCGCCGCCAGCTCGTCCTGCCGCGCGGCGAGGTCCTCGGCGTCGTGCCACGACGGGCACTGCAGGAGGTAGGTGAGGTGCATGTACCAATGGATCCGGCCGATGACGTGGACCATGCCCTTTCGGAACTCGTCGTGACGTAGAATCGGGTCGATCAGTAACTTAAAGAACATCATGTCAGTGACTTGGGAGGAACACAAAAGCGTAGGTTGGCGGCTCAACGTACAGGAGTGAGGATGGACAGCCCAGACCAGGCCAGGGCGGCAGAGGGGTACTCGTCCCAAGCCGTCTCCACGGTGCGCCTGGTGCTGTCGAGTAGAATCTTGGGGACGTCGTCGGCCTGGCTGGGCTTGCTGCCCTTGCGCTTGCTCAGCCCTGCCCTGGTAATGGCACTCATGAGCTCCATCCGGCGGTTGGTATCCCCGCCGGGCGGAGACAGGGTGGAGCGGGTGGCCAACTTCAGGTCATCCGATAGCTCCTGGGAGATGATGGCCTCGTAGGTCACGACGAGGCTCTTGGTGCTGGGGTCGAGCCGCAGGGCGTCGTACGCCTCGTCCCATAGCTCCCGCGACAGGGCGATCTCGGCGCTGTGGCCGGACGAGGCGGACGAGACGGACTTCTTCTTGGGGGCCGGCGCGTATCCGCTGCGGCTGTAGGGAATGGCGGTAGTGGGCTGGTGATGCTGCTTCTGCGGCTTGCTCGGTTTCTGCTGAGGCTTCGGCTTGGAGTGTGGGCTGGGCGTGAGGCGCTTGCACTTGGGGTCGCATTGGCTGTCGTCGCTGTCGACGGTGCCTCGTCGAACGGGGCTGGTGGACGGCTTGCGGGCAGCATAGTCGTTGCTGCTGCTGCTGTTGCCGCTACTGCTGCTATTGCTGGAGCTGTTATTGCGCACGCGACTGACAAGCCGTTTCAAGATGCCTGGGCTATGCTGGGTGTCGATTTCTACCCTAGTCTCGTCTCTCATGGCTGCTGTCATATTTCCGGTGCCGTTGGACGGTGAGGATTCGTAGTTTAGAAAAGCCAACTAATCGGGACAAAGCCAAAAATCGTAGGGAAAAATCAAAATCAAGATCTTGATAACGCCCCTCGAAGGGTCCTATGCGATGATGGTGTTGCTGGTCCAAGACCCAAGATCTCCAGCAATAGGAAGTAGGTAGATCAAGTCTCACGATAGATGGATGAGGCTTGCAGGCTCAATAGCTGTCGCCAGGCTACGTGTAGTTGGCCAAGGCGCTGGAGGTTAGTAGAGTGTAGGGGCCGAGTCCCTTATCGTAGGTGGTCGTAGCAGTAAATCCAGTGAACGAGCTAAAAGACAGCGTACTTCAGAACGCTCAGTCGTTACAGAAATACCAGGCAAGCAAGAACGGGTAGGAGAAATGACAGGATAGACAAGATCCAGGTGCCGGGATAAGCCCCTCTTATTAATAAAAGAAGGTCGGGATTTCTGTTTGTTTGGTTCTGAGTGGGTGCCGGGCTGGCGGTTCAACTGGGCTGTCGACTCCTTGCCAAGCCAGGCATGTGTGGATTCGGCCTCCATGGATGTCATTCATTCATTCGGTTGATCGTCTGGAGGTACCTTTTCGCTTTCGGTCCGCTATATTACACATCTTACCATGGAAGGGTGTCGTTGTGCGACCGACCAGGGTCGCCCCCGAGCCAAACATGCGAGGGATGATACTTGGCCCGGTGGGAGGCAATTCAACAATGTGTCAGGCGGGAGTTGCCGCTGGCTTGTCACCTACAGCAGCATTTGCATTCCTACCTGTTTGACTGGACCGGACGCACATAAACGACTGGTCCCGGTCTGTCAGCCTGTCCGCCTGGCCTACCCTAGGTAAGCTGCTTTGGCATCATGTGCGTGTGTCGGGTGGTGTGTGTCTCTGGGCAGATGCCCGCCTATACCCCGAGAAATAATCAAGCCTCTGGTCTTTTCACTCCTGTGAATTGATATTCCCGAGTCCCCCGCCCCGGCTAACTTGAAGACCGGCTCGAGGAACGGGACCGAGAGTGTTGTATTGTAGGTGCTGGGACACAAATTAGGACTATGCATGCAGCTGCTCTGGCCCAGACATTTCATGTCCCCGTCCGCATTATCGAGAAACTAGTTGGTTCAGCGACCTGGATCGAGACTCGAGTTGCAGCTGCTTTGAGTGTGCTGCATGGATGTTACCCACTAATATCTCACCAGGCTGATCGCCGTGGCTTGGGCCTGGCCCTTTGAGAAACAAACCCAAGACAAGGGAAGAGAGGATAATTCCTCTCTGTGCGCACATGCATGATAGATTGGGAAGCACAAGGAATACAAGGTGAGGACACCTACCCCGTACGCTGCAAACCCATGCGATGTGGCATGCACCTCGCGATTGTGACCTAAGAGGGCTGGGACATTCGCCCTGTTTCTGGCCTCTCGATTACCCAAGGCCATTCGCCAATTCGGCTGTGACGACGAGCGAAAGCCAAGGAACACTGGCTGCTTGCTGGTTGGTTGGTTGATCGAAATGCCGGCCTTGACGACGATGACTTCATCCCCTTGTCCTCGGCCGGCCGCTCTACCTCATAGGCCCGTTTTCTGCTGCCTAGCTCGCGTGTTAGGGTCCGGGGCATTACTAGCCAGGGGTGTCTCTGCTGGATGATGGCATATGTGCGTCTGTCCGCTCCATATTGACTGGAGGAGCGGACCTTTTCCTCACTCACCCCCCCTCCAACTCCAGCACCAGCGCTCAACCCATCCCAACTGGCTCCTTGCGTCCGCTGTGCCGCATTCAGAGTGGCCCTCCGACTCTCCCCGCCCGCGACATGGTGGTCGCTCACTTGAACCATTGAACTATCTGCCATCCTCCTCCCGCCGGCTACATACCCGCCATCTTCCGCACACTAGAGCACTCCTCCCTGCCCCGGTCAGACTGGAGTTGCGGACCTGGGGTCACATATCGTTTTCTCTCTCTCTCCAGAAGACATGCCTTCCTGCGCAGGTATTGGTGGCAGGTCTGTGGCGGACTCATGACAAATGGAATGAAAACCCCTATCAGTCATCCCGTATTTCCAACTCCTTTCATCACGAAGCTTTCCGTGGCTTTGTGGCAGCAGCTTGTCTCTCAATTGGATTCGTATTCATGTCTCCCACCTAGGATTCTATTTTCGTGTTCCCCCAAGCTTATCTCACATGAGTCAATCGCCCCCCCAGCTTCCCCCTCACATGCCGCCGCCAACTCTCCCTTTCTCCCCTTGCATTTATTTTACGATTCATTAATCTTGATGTTTGCCTAATCCCACCTTGAAGAGATAGAGCAGGGGGAGTGTGTGGCGCCTCGACATGTGACACTCCGACCAGCCGCGCCCTAATCCAGGCTCTAAATAGAACTTTGATGCGTGTTTGTCTCAGATGTGTTTCTAAGCCGTCCGAGCGTTGCCACATGGCAAGCCATGGGAGCCAAAACAATCTCTTCCCCAGATTTGACGGTCCTGATTCTGCCCGTCTGATTTCCCTTTCCTCTCGCTCTCGTGCTTGGGCCATCCTGATACGTCCAGCGCTTCGTGCCACCCCTGCTGGCACGCTCCATAGTTTAATTATCAATCCGGTCCAGGCCCGACGACCCTGTTGGCCTTTGGGTTATGTGAATGTAGGGCGTTTCTTGGCAAAAAGAGGCATTGATGCCATCAGCTTGGGAAGTGGCTTTGCTCCCCGGGGGTGGCTTTTCGGGACTGGGGACATGAATCAATTGCGTTCCTGCTGCCAGCACCGGCCGGGCTCATGCTGACCTTCGCCCCATTCTGAGACCGTCCGCGTGAGATCCATTCCAGTGCTGCCGCCCGTAGTGGAGAGTGTGCCGATGGCAAAGCCAAGATGGATCCGTGGCAACTTCGAGTCTTGTGAACTGGCGCGCAGGGCGAAATGAAATGCTGGATTTTTAAAGGGCCTTGAACTTGGCCGGAGGATTGACCACATTGGGGGTGGTCGATGGTGGGAGTTCGCCGTGCGCAACGCTCAGTTTCGGACTCCAAACATCTCCCGCAGCTCCTGCGCCTCCTGGACTTGAAGCATTCATAAAGTGGCGTAACTGGACAGCCTGGAAAGACGGCTGATAAGATGCTTCGGATCACTTTCAGGCTAAAGCTTTGTATAGCTCTTTGTGTCGTTGTCAGCCACGTGTTGCCCCTTACAGAAGGGCGCCTGGCCGACCCCTCATATTCACGAAATAGAGACCATGGCATGTAACAAGCGTAGATACACACGTGGAGGTGGATTCATTATACTTCCCACTTCTTGCTAGTTGTAGCCTCACTTGGGTTGGAGCGGCTGTAGGGAGGGAGGCCAGTGAGCAATCGTTCCATCCCATCATGCCAATCGTAACTTTCTATCAACTAAGGGGACCGAGTAAGCTATTCAAATTGAAACTGATGTGATTCTTTGAACAAAGCAAGCTAACAAACGGACAAACCGAGGTATTTACTACGGGCCTATAGCCTCTTCACCTATGTCTACCCATCGGTCAGAGGCCCACAACAGCACTCGAGCAAGCTACACCCTCTCTACATGGCATTTGCGAGTCTACACGATCCCTTGTGCCTGGAGCAGATATGCAAGGCGAGGACAAGCACGGCAGAAGTACTGGCTCAACCGAGTTTGTCGTTGGCTAAAGTGTCGCCGTTTCCTCCCTCCCGCAATACCGCGCCTCCAGGTTCCTGGCCGGGCTCAAACTCCTCGGTAGACTGGCCCTGGCCATGAAACCCGAAAAAGTTGACCAACACCTCCATTGGTGTCGTTCGCTTGACTTGCCCATACGTGCGCAGCATCGGCCGAAAAATGAAATCAACAGGCATTCCTTTGTATTCATTGTCGGAAAATACGTGGGCCTCCATTGATGGTCCGGGTTTGAAGACAAACCCATGATTCTTTCCAGTCCCTGGATCATGCATCTCGATTCGGGTATCGTGTGGCCAGGCTACAATGTTGAAGTCGGCTTCAATGGCTAGCCTTGCCATCTCAGAGAGGGCATCTTCAAAAGGTTCCTTACTCGGCGGCGGATTGTATTGTGGCACGAGATCCGGCGATGACACAGGATTATCCTCATGGTAGCGATAAACCACGATAGGTTTGATTGCTAACATGATGATTCTCTTCAGGCGTTCGGAGCATGTGTGAGGGCCTTGGCGTTGGTAGATAACCTGAGCCAGGTTGTGTCGGCCGACGTGATAGGCGTGTGTCTTCGCATTGCTCTCGGTTTCCATGTGTTCTAATAAGCATTGAATTAGCCATGCTCAAGTCTTCGTGCCGGCTGGCTGTGATTGTGGAAGGGAAAAGAGAACATACCGCCTAGAGATTCTCGAAGGCACCCGAAAGTAGTCCATTCCGAACCAGACCATTTGTCCCTGCGACTCAGGGAGAACAAATTCTCATAGAGTATGCGCCAGATCCAGGCTCCGAAGAGCAACCAACAGCCTTTGTATTCCGGGTCCTCACAAAAATCTGCGGCCCTTGGAGTGATGGCCAGCAGTTGAGCTTTGATGTCATCTTCTACAAGGCTCCAAATGCATTTGGGTGGGAACACAAGCTTTACAAAGAAATTGATCTGGGTCGAAAGATCGTCCCATATTTTCATGTGCAAGTCATGTTCTGAACTCGGTAGAAAAGCCCTATGGGCCCAGCCTTTCATCTCAGCTTCAGAGCCAAATGCTTTAAAATGGTCCTCCTCGGTCATTGTTCGAGGAACACTCTCATCTCCGACGATGCTAGCCAATGATCTGACTGAGAACATTTGGCCAGGTATGAATAATGGAGAAGGTGACTCGGCATCGCTTCCACTTTCTGTTGACTGGTCGGTGGTAGAGCCGGAGGAGATGCTGCGGCCGTCTTCACTCTTCTTGTTTTGAGACATTGAAGTCGATGATGATGGACGAGTGACTACTTATGTTTCTGACGATGAAAAAAATAAGAATCCATATTCGGCTATGGAGGATTATATAGGCCATGAACTTGGTTAACAAAGCGATAGGTTTGAATGCATGTACCCATGCTCAGGTTGGTGTTGTAATGCTTTCATGCTGTCTTGTACTGCTGCTTCGCTTAGCGCGTTCCTTAAACTTCATACAAAGGTATAAGATTAAACGTTCAGTTTCACCAAATGTGATTTTGAGCAAGTTCTCTTTGTAAGTCGATAAGCATTACATATAGGAGAGGCCGAAATGAGGAGCGATTTGTCGGATTTGATGTCAACTACCAGTGCTATCTACGATAATCGCCACCTAAAGGCTCTAGAATCTTCACACCATGAGATAGAGAGCCGATATCATTTGGGGTTAGTGGTATAATTAACAATCAATCATCCTTTTACACAAGGGAGAGGTGTTCTGATTTTTCTCCTGGGTAACTGAAGGAGAGAGTGGAGGAGCGGACAAGGCCATCGACACGGCACGGCGATCGGTTGCCGCCAGAATGAATATGCGACCGTTTCTGCGCAGTTCAGAAACCCATTGATGTAACCGCGCCATTTTTCTGGAAGGATCATTGTTTGTTTCCGGAATTGAACAATGTGTATGTTCTTGATGCCTCTTGCGCAGGAGGCATGATGTCATCCGCCAGTCACGTGCAGCTGATTTGGTTTTAGATTTCAGACACTGCAATGTTTGAGCCTGCAGCCATTTTGTGCTGGCTCATCAACAGTCTTTATTGAGCTGTGGAGCCAGAACGAGAACCCGATGTACCTGTCAGCGGCTGCCAATGGACATCACAAAGGCAAATGCCCGGCCGGCGTGCGATACATGCCGCTCCCGCAAAACGAAGTGTGATCGAGCTCTACCCAGATGCGGCCGGTGCGTGAGGGTCGGGCAGGCCTGTGGCTATGCCGGACCACGATATCCTTCGCGCGAGGAACTCTCTGGCCAACTGTCTCAGCTGCAGGACCGTCTGACCCAGGCTGAGGCCCAGATCTCCACGCCTCACCTCCCCAAGCTTGCTGCCTCGTACACTCCAAGCCCCCCTCTCTTCCATCCCGAACCACCAAACGCCGAGCACTTGGATGTTAGAAGCAGTCCTCGAATTCAGGAGGATGACTATGTCCCCGTTGACCCCAACTTGATGGCCAACTTGACCCCTGAACCTATCAATGTTCTGTCATTTACGAGCTCTTTCCCCGATGGCATCGACTTCTTTTCCACCATGAGTGTCGACTGGCCGTTGGAAGGGCCTGGCAACGGTCTGGAGACAGCGCTGCCTGCGTCTGCCTCTCCCCAAACGCTACTTCATTTTGGGGGCCAAGAAGGCACAGAGACACGTGCTGAGACGGGACAGGTGTCGGCCCAAGACCTTTCAATATTGCATCAGAAATACTTCAGCATCCTTTTTCACGCTTGGCCATTCCAATCTCGACAGAGGTTCGAAAAAGAGTTGATGTTCCGGCCAGACTGGCCACCGATACTTGCCCTTAGTCACGCCATCGCCCTGTACGCCACCACAGTATCGCAAACTCACCAGCACTTACAGCAGCGCTGCTACAAGGCTGCTCGCAAATATATCGAAATGTCAGAGATGGACGACAATGAAAGTAGTCTGGCAAACCTCAGCCTCTTTCAAGCGCTCATCTTTGTGATTCGGTACGAAATCACCAGCCAACCATTGACCCGCGCCTGGATGACTTTGGGACGCGCCATCCGTCTCTCCAAGATGCTCAAACTTGACAAAATAGACAGCTATGAGTCAAAGATGACCCCGGTGGTCGACTTGGAGGTTCGTCTGCCGCCTCCAGCAGATGCTATGGAGCTTGAAGAACGGCGGCGGTCTTTCTGGAGCCTATATATTCTAGAGAGTTATGCCAGCACGCGAACAGGGATTTCTTGTGAACTTGGTGAAGCCAAATCATTCCAAACTCGACTGCCATCGCCAGGGCCTCTCGATTCCAGTTTCGTAGCGATAGACATGCCATACCTCGGCGAAGTCAGCGCCATATTGCCTCACGCCCTACCTCCAATATCGCCTTACACCGGCTGCATACTCATGGTGGAATTGACTCTACAGTGTTTCCAGCATGCCACTTTACGACAGGCCCCTAGCGAAGGTGTAAGCTTTTGGGACAATCACTACAGGCTCATCAAGGAATTTACTCAGCGGGCTTCTCTCTTGAAAGCACACCTGGATACCAACGCTGTGAAGACCGACCCCATCTCGTTCTCTCTGCATATGAATCTATGCGCCGCCGAGATTTACCTCCACGAGGCCGCTATGAAAGAGATACTTCTACAGCAACTGCCGCACTCGATGGCGAGTGAGAGCAAGAAGTGCTCTACTGCAGCCGCCTTCCGAATCGCCAATGCTGTAAGACTCAACTGGCCGTCTCGCGGATCCCAGTCAGATCTTCTAGCCCTCCAAGCAACATTTATCGCCTGGCCGCTTGTCATGGCAATGAGGTTTCTCAGCCAGGAGCTCGCCTCTGTCGAAGCGAAGAGCATCTCTGACGGCGTTGCCGTATCGCACTCGTTGCGGCTGCTCCAGGCTGCACTGGATCACGTTGAGAAATCAGATGGGTACTGGCATTCCTTGACACGATTTGTAACCCCGACGCTTCAAAGATGGGATGAAAAGAGCGCGTTCGACATGAATAGTTTGTGATGTTTTCCATAGATTCTCTCGGCGACATATTTATGATTGCATTAATCGATCAGAGTGAAATCACTGTCAACACCCCGTAGCCATCTTCACCCCAACGAATTGTCCGCCTCCTGCAATACCTTGCCTTGCCACATGCGAGCCAATCGCATCTCGTCTGACACCAAATATTCCCCATGGACCTAATATACTCGAACCATTCCCACCCTATCGAGGCACAGCGACATATAATACCACGATGTCAGTTTGCTTAACCAAATATGATTAGACCAGGCCAGTATGATCCCCGTTTATCCTACGCGCTGGCGTAGCCTCTGCTTCTATCAAGGCACATGTCAGCGTTTACCGATCAACACCATCTCGATACGACAAGATACCACGTACAATGAGGGGCAACGAGAGCAGAAAGCTGATCGCAGCTGCTACTGTGAAGAAAACCCAAATGATCTTCATCGACGCGGTGATTTCGGGCACGACCAGTGACTGCTCCTCTGGGGAAAGTCGCAAATATGCCGGGCTTTTCGTTCCTGCCATCAACTGCACGATCTCGCTCGCTGCGGTGTTGGGCAGCACCCTCATGATCTTGTCGAGGGCGATATTCTGGAACAATGACCCAGCAATGGCAAGAAAGAGGACCATGCCAAGGTCCTGTGCTGAAAAGTCGTCATTCATCGGTCAGCGTTTGCATATCACGTTCGTACAAAGACGGACAGACTCACAAATTGTCATCGCCCCGACAGCGTTGGCCGTGTCGCCCGCAGGGACGAGAGATTGAACAATGGCGAACCCTGCAACAATGTAACAGCCCGCTCCTGCGCCTACGAGGATCATGAAGCCGTAAATGGGTGCGTTGGGAGAATTTCCCCCCACCGTGCCTGAGATCCCGTCAGCGACCAATCTTGACGGAGAAACCATCTAAAAGCCTACACATTAGAGCGGAACCGACGAGAACCAGCACACTTCCGACGATATACCACGGCCCGTAATAGGGGAGTCGGGGCATGAAGACACCGTTGATCATGGAAAAGACGACCAAGAAGATGACGAGGGGCAGTAACCTCACACCAGCGTCTAGAGGCCCATCACCCTGGGACTTCCATTAGCTTTTTGCGGATCAATACTACCTTCCCTGCGATTTTGCCACTTACTCTTACAAATTGGAAATAGAGCGGAACGTAATAAGTCATCGCCTTCAACTTGGTCAGCCATTGATGATGGCGCATAATCATCCACGCCTACTTACAAGCACAATGCCCGAAGACAAGAACACCTGAGCTTGCATGAGCACCAAGATGGGCCGGCGCAAGAAGTGTACTGGGTAAAGCCGGTTTTCTTTGCTCACGCCCGGATGAAGCTTGGCCACCGCCACAGCTACGATTAGGAGAACTCCGGTGACACTCCACAGGGCAATCATCGTGCCTGAGCTGAACGAGTACACGACACCGCCGAAGGAGATGGCAAGTGTCAGGCATGCCGCACCAGCGAGGAAGATGACGGTCATGGCCCAGTCGATCATCGCGAGCCTCTCCCATGTTGATTTGGCCGGCTGGGGGTCGACGGCGGGGAAGAGAAGAAGGTACGCAGGGGCAAATATGGCTCCGATGACGAGATTGATATAGAAGCCCTTTTTCAGAACCGGTCAGCATGCAACGAAACGCAGTATGGAAGATAACCACACACCCATCTCCACGTCGCAGCGCTCTCGGCGAATGCGCCGCCAACCACAGGGCCAAGAACACTCCCGATCCCCCAGACGACAGTGCTCCCGGCCAGGTAGGCGGGCTTCTCGCGCGCTGAGGTCAGGACGGAGACGTACGTCAGCGTCCCGGAGTACATGCCCGAGCCACCGACTCCGGCAACGACACGGCCGATGATTAAGGCGTCCATGGTCGGGGCGGCGCCGCAGACGGCGCTCCCCGCCTCGAAGAGGAGGATGCTGGCGACGTACGCCCACTTGTTGTTGAGGACGCCGTACGCTTTGCCCCAGGGGAGGATGGCCATGGTGCCGAGGGCGAAGCCGGTGCCGACCCAGGGGAGGAGCTCGACGCTGCCGAAGTCGCTGATGATGGCGGGCTGGATGTCGGCGACGATGGTGTTGTCGAGGGCGAAGAGGAAGGTCGTTGAGAGCATGGCGGCGTATGCTACAGCCCACTGGTGCGGCTCCGTTAGGGAAATGTGCATTGGGATGAACAGTGTGTTGGAGGAGGGGGTTTTGGTTGGTCTAGGCTACTTACGCGCCAGCCGTGAATGGCTCGTGGAGGGGATGAGGGTTGTTTGTCCCTTGGGCCGGGAGACTCGTCGGCATCTCCTATCCGTTGGTTTAATGGAGGTTCTAAGGGCTTTTCAGTTGTCGTGAGGGAGTTCATGATGTGCCTAGGGTACGTATCTATGGTTGAAAGAAAGGAGGTCTGAGGGTCAGTACGGAGTTTTACAAAAAAACTTGATAGGGAACTCAATGGCTCACTAGCTCTGAAAATAAGACACAATTACGGCATCTCTATCTATCTTTATATGTGTCTCATATGGCTCCCCTGAGCATGTCAAGTCCGAGTTGTGATGTGATGGCGGACCTGGACGCGGAGGAGTGACTCCACCAGCACGGAGCGAACGGCCGAGGGCAGCCCGCAATTGGCTTTTTCCATCTCCCCTGTCCCGTCCCTCCGTCTTGACTTGGCTCTACCCGATGCCCCCTTTGTTTTGATGGAAAGATGGTAATGATGATGTTGACTATGTATGGACGTGTGTGAAGAAAGAACTTGACACTTGAGCTCGTCTTGATGGCGATAGTTAGGTAAGTAAAACAAGGAAGTAGCATTCTATTTATTAACGTTACTATGAGTGGAAAGATCTATACACTTGGGATCGATTAAGTTACATTCCTTCTATTGCTCAACACCGCCATCTGCCCAAACCATGACACCCCTGGGAAAAGAGGGACTCTATGTATCCTCCTCTATTGGTCGCAAAACTCCATCTAGAACTTGCTAATGAGGCCATGGGGAGAGAATACCTTGCTAAGGAGCGCCAAAGCACCCCCGGCAAGACACACCAGACCGCTGAACAGCCCGACAGACAAGAACCCGTATTGGTCCAGGAGCCTGCCGTTGATGGGGGGCCCGATCAGGACGGCGATGGACGAGAGACCCATGCCCATGCCCAGGTACGTGCCCATGAGCTGCGGGTTCTTCACCGTCCTCGCCAGCGCCGCCGACCCTCCAGAAATGACGGTGCCGGAGCAGAACCCGATGAAGACGCAGTAAACGACGAACTCAGCCGTGCCGGAAGGTTCATTCAGGCAGCAGACAATAACGCCGGTGACGAAGCCCGCCACGGAGAAGACGTTGCTGGGGCCGAGCTTGTCAGCGAGGACTCCCGGGATGATGCGGCCGAAGATGGAGGCGCCGTTGATGATGGCGAGGAGGTACGAGGCCAGCGTGGCGTTCATCCCCCGCGAGACGGCGAGGGTGGGGATGTAGAAGAGCGGGGTGAAGACGCCGAGCATCATGAAGAACATGGCCCCGGCGAGGAGGCAGAACTCGGTCTGCTTGAAGGCGCTGACGTCGAAGAAGCTGGAGACCTTGGGGGGGAGGCGGGCCTTGATGAAGACGCAGGAGAAGAGCAAGAAGGGCATCATGACGAAGCCGACGACGCGGACGCTCCAGCCGAAGCCGAGGGAGGAGTCGTTGAGGAGCTTGGAGAAGATGATGGGGATGACGACGCCGCCGATGGAGGAGCCCGAGATGGTGAGGCCGAGTGCGGCGGCGCGCTTCTTGTCGAACCACTGGGAGACGGCGGCGAGGGCGGGGAACATGAGCCCGCCCATGCCGATGCCGAGGAGGACGCCCTGAGCGAGCATGAACTGCCAGTACTCGTGGCACAGGCTCGTCATCATGATGGCCAGGAGGTAGAGGACGGCGGCGGGGCGGATGACCCAGGCGCCGTAGCGGTCGAAGAGGGGGCCGCCGATGCACCCGGAGGCGAACTGGATGAAGTTGGAGAGGGATCCGATCCAGGCGACATCGTCGGCGGTCCTGCCCTGCAGCTGGTGGGAGAGGTAGTACTCGATGAAGATGCCAGTGGAGTTGGCAAAGCCAAGACCGGCAAAGGAGGTGCAGCAGGCGCCGACTGCGACGAGCCAAGCAACGCGGCCGCCGTCGGGGGCTGGGGAGAGGTCTGTAGCCGCCTCGGCCGAGGGCTCCACGTCGGTGGTTTGGTCAGTCGAGTGATCCGGCTGCTTCTCCAGGTCAGACGAGGACTTGGTCATTGTGGCGATGTGATGTAGTTGTCGTTTCTGTCTGTCTGATATCCCAGCTAAGGGGTTTGTGAGAGATGTAGGAGAGGTGAATGAGCGTAGTGAGCAGATGATGAGCTGACTGGCCAGCCCAGGCCATGGCCATTAAATATTGAAGAGACTGACATGACGCCCGGGAAATTATCTCCCAACTCGGGGACAGATCTGATAATTCGAAGGGTGGGAGCAAACGTTTGCGTGAGTTGCAGGGATGTTGAAGGTCGGAGCCGGAGATAGAAGAATGGAGGAAGAGCCGCGATGCCGATTTGTCGGAGTCGGCATATTCAGCCAATCACGTGCTTGGAAAGGTCGGAAAATTGAATTTCCCGAGTCCAGCCCTGCAGCTATCTCCGGCTTCATCAGATCAGAGATTCCGTCGTCTTCGGTCACACGCAAAACCAGATGGTGCTGGTCACTTTGGTTTGACAGGACGGAGAGGAAAAAATCCTCAAAAAATCCGATCGATTGACTCACTTACTCTCCCTCTGCATTATCTCCTCTCTGTCATGGTTGAACCCGAGAAGCGACGTCGCCGGCCGCCGGTGTAAGTATGCACCTCTTCCACCAAATCCCGACCCAAGCTGATCCTTGTCAATTGTTCCCTACAGGTCGTGCACACTCTGCAGGAAGCGCAAGATTCGCTGCAACCGTGAGCTCCCATGTAACAATTGTGTCCGGTCCAAGGTGCCTGGACTCACTTGCGCCTATGACAAGTCAGCCAACCCTACCCCAAGACTGGCTCAGACTGCCCAGACCAGAGCCAGTCCAGCCAAAATTGGCGAGATCTTCCTGGCCCCCAAGTTCTCTCCTCCCGAGAGCCTCCTGTATGATGGCGATGCTGTTGATTCCGAGACGGAAGAAGCGCAGGGCCGGTTCCCCTTTGAACCGGTCCTCGTGCGCAACGATGCAAGGAGCATCGCACCCAAGGCATCGCCTGGAAGTGTGCAGGATGCTGATACGATGCGGTCGCGCATTGCCCAGTTGGAAGATCAGCTGTTACAATTGAGGTACAGGAATAGCGCCAGCTCGTCTACCGTCTTCACGACGAACAACAGCACTACCTCCCCAGAGGAGAACCAAGAAGCCGCCGCTCCAGGACGGGCACCTCGTCAGAGAGCATCGGCCACCTATGAATTTGAGAATGAAATTTTCGGACAGGCTCTCTTCACCAGCCGCAGTGTCATGCACAAGAAGCGGTTGTTTGGTCAGAGCCACTGGGCCAATTGCCTTGCCATGGTATGTATCTTGGTTCTCTAATTAAAGCTGGATCGCCGTCGGTAGCGCAGACAGTCTCACTCTTCCTTCTTCTAGTTTCGAGATGTTTTCGAAGTCTTCGAGCCTCGAGTAGCCCAAGATATGACATCCAAGATATCCGAACGTCTCTCCCGGTGCAAAGAACTTGCTAGGATCATCAAAGCTGACCGGGCGCCCCTGTGGCCTGCGATGCCCACTTACGATCTGCCCCCGAAAGAGGTGTGCGACCAGCTGGTCGACGGATACATCAGGACCTCCGAGAGCGTCTACCGCGTACTGCACATACCTTCCTTCATGAAAGAGTACAACGCCATTTGGTCGTCTGGCCCGAAGCCGGACATGACAGCCATCGTCACGATAAAGCTCGTCCTCGCCATCGGGGCTACTGTTTACGATGAGAAGTTTAGCATGCGCAAGTCGACTGTCCACTGGATCCACGAGGCGGAGACGTGGCACTCTCGTCCCGACTACAAGGCCCGTATTTTCATCCGCGATATACAGTCCCGGATCCTCCTCCTGATCGCCCGCGAGGCCTGCGGCCAAGGGTGGAGCATGACGTGGCTTCCCATGGGAGAGCTGCTGCGAACGGCAATGTACGTCGGGCTGCATCGAGATCCGACGCGACTACCGCGCCGGACGACCTTCGCCGCCGAGCTTCGCCGTAGGATTTGGAACACCATCTTGGAACTGGCTCTGCAAACGAGCCTGCTTGCCGGGGCCGCTCCACTCATCTCGCCGGATGATTATGATACGCAGCCTCCGGGGAATTTCGACGACGAACAACTCCTGATCAATGACCCAGAGACTAAGCCAGACACCGAATTTACCCAGATGTCGATCGCCAGAGCACTCTGCCAGACGTTCGAGGCTCGGCTTGGTGTCGCCAGGTATCTCAACGACCTCAGTTCCCGAAACAGCTATGAGGAGACCCTGAGGCGAGACGCCGAGCTGCGAGCCGCGCACCGCCTCATTGGAAGGCAGATCCAGATGTGGAAGGCAAAAAGCACCGCGGGCCTCCCCGGCCCCTCAACCTTTCAACTGACCTTTATCGACAACGTCATGCGCCAGACCCTCCTGGTCCTACACGTGCCCTTCTACGGCCCATCCATCCACGAAGCCTCCTTCGCGTTCACGCGCAAGGTCGTGAGCGAGACCTGCCTCGCCGTATGGCGCGCATCGTCCGGCTCGCAAGTCTCCATCCGCGGACCACACGTCACCTCGTCCCCTCCCTCCAAGAAGGAAGACTTCGCCATCCTCGCAGCCCTGCGCTCCGGAATCTACGGGACCATGCAGTCCAGCTTCCTGCTTCTGGCCGAAATCCGCGCGCAGATCCGCGAGTACGACGACGGGCTGGGCGCTACCCCCATCCGCTCGGACATGCTCCCCGTCATCGACGAGATTAAGGACCTGAGCTTCGAGATGATCGTCAACGGCGAGACCAACATCAAGGGCACGCTCGTCAGCAGCCTCATCATCGCGCAGATTAAGGCCATGCTGGGGGGTCTGACGGGGGAGGCGATGCACGGGGCGCTCATCGACTCGGTGCTGGACACGAGCGCGAGGTGCCTCGAGGTGCTGGAGAAGGCGGCAGCAGAGGTGCAGCACGGGGAGGATCAAAATGCAGAGAGCGAGGCGCCGGGAATGCCTCTGGCGCTTCCGCGGATGAACCTAGCTGATCAGCTCACACTGGACTGGGACTTCACGGTAAGTTTGGACTTTGATGTCGGGATGCTGGGAGGGACGAAGATGGTGTGAGATGGCTGCTGACAAAAACATTTGATGATTTATAGATTCCAGAAACAGACTTTGGGACTGGAGCCATTGATCCATCGGTTAGTATGCTTGAGCATATGAACTGGATGTTTGACGACGAAATCCTCCAGGGGCCGCCGGTTGCTTGAAGCACCATCGCGACAACACATCCATCGTATTACATTTTCCAGGCGCTCCATCTCGGTGAGGTGGACAGACATCTCTCACGGGAAGCATATTTTGGGAGAAATTCTCGGATTCAGCAAGCAACTCTTTTCATTAATGTATTCCGGGTGCCTCAGCAAGTTCTTCATGCACCAAACTCAAGCTAATCTATACCACCCCTCGTGATCACTTCGAGCCATACCCCATCATTTCTTTTCCGCAAAGACAATTTGATTCCATTTAAGCAGCCCTGGCATGAGGCCGGACCTTGCGGGCCATCCAGTTGGTCTTGTTGACCCTTCGAAAACCCAGACTGTACCAAAACTGAACGCAGATGTCGACCTGCTCCTTGATGACCCTCGCTCTCTCCTCGCCCTCCAAGTCCTTGTACTCGCTCTCCAGGGCGCCGGGCGCCACAAAGGCCGAGAGGCGCTTCCCTTCACTCGCCTCGTGGAGGATCCCTTGGACTAGGTCCTTGCCCAGGCCCTTCCGTCGATAGGCCCTGGCAATCTTGACGTGCGTGAACGTGAGGACGTCGTCGCTGTCGAGCGTTTCGTTCCAGTCCAGGATCCCGTTCAGGGTGATTTGTGGGACGCGGTGCTCGGGAAGCAGGCGGCCGTCGGGGGTGAAGAGATCTTCAGCCAGCTCTCCCGTCTCTTCGGAGGCGGCCTTCATTCGTTCGTGGAAGCGGGAGCGGTCGTCGCCGCGCTCGACGAGGTGGGCGGTGCAAGTGGCGATGCAGGCATTGTCTGGGGCTGCTTCCATATTTGCGTTGAAGGTCTTCACATATTGGAGGTCTGCTTCGCCGTTGGGCGTGGCGTTTTGGCTGCCAGGTGTCTCTACTGCGGAAGGCATGGTGGGCGGGAGATTGAGTGTTGAAGGATATCGAATGGCTGAGTAGTGATGGAAATTGCTGATCAGTGATGGATAATCTTTGATATGTGTTCTCCAAATGGTGCTGAGCGGTGATGGATAATTGATTATGGGTTCTGTGTTTGTTGATATGATTGGGAGGAGAATGATGTTGGGGGCGATGCGAGTGCGAAAAGTAAAGAGAAAGATGCGAAGGAAGAAGCAGCTGCCAAGTGATCGGGAGAGAGAATTATAGACGGCAGGCGCAAGGCTGAGCCGTCGTCATTCTCCTGCCTCAGGCCGAGCGAATCAGTTTGGGAAGCCTGAGGCATGGGTTGACTGCAGGAGTATTTCCCATCGAACCAACGTGCCCTTCTCCAACGTCTGATTTTGGCATTCAGTCTTGTTGTTAGTCAGTAATAACTGCCTTATTTCTCTTATGCCTTGGTCACAAACGAAGTTAATCGGAACCGAGTGAGTGCACCCAGGGAACAAAGATCAATTGGTGGTGAGCCGAGTAGCATATCAAGAAGGTGTTGAACCAAGACTGATTCCAAACCGATCGCAAACTTCAAATTAAAGGCCAAACCCGCCAAGGACGGCCTGAGCCTCATCATAATCTCGAAGGACAGCCTCCTCCCTTGCCGCATCCCGCAACACAAAGTCAACCTTGAACGGCTCGGGGCCCAGGATGAGGCCTGGGTGGAAGGCCGTCTCAACATCAAGGTCAAGGGGCTCCTTCTCTGCCGGCACGATATGGTACGCCCAAAGCAGCTTCGACATGGCAACAAGAACCGAGTTTTGCGCAAATTGATCCCCCGGGCAGATCCTGCGCCCGGCGCCAAACGTATACGTTGCACGCTTGGCCGCAGTTTCCTGGGCTCTGGCTTTGAGGCCGAGCGGATGATTGAGATACCTCTCGGGAAGGAACTCGTTGGGTCGATCGTAGTCGTCCGGGTTGCGCTGCATACCCCAGAAGTTGGCGACGACGGTGGCTCCCTTGGGGATGCGGAAGCCCTTGTAGTTGTCCTCGCGGCTGACGACACGCGGTATCCCATTGGGAGCTGCTGGGCAAAGTCGGAGAATCTTTTGGAAAGATATTAGTACCGTGGATTGATGACACGAAGACGTAAGCAAATCAATGACAAGGGACTCACCTCGAGAAGGCATGCCCGGATATACGGGATGCCCTCAATCACATCACCTCCTGGTGGTTGGTCGGGACTCACACGGCTGATCTCACCATGTGCTTTGGCCTGAGCATCGGGACAGGCAACCATGTACAGCACAAAGCTGGACAGCGTCGCCCATGTCGTGTCGACTGCTGCATCAATGAGGCCACCACCAACATATGCAAGCTCATCATGGGAAAATGTGGCCTTTGCATTTGGTTTCTCTCTCTCCGCTTCTTCGTCCTCCATTATCCTGGATAGAACGGACTGGAATCGGCGTTGGGACCCGCCACCCTTCTCCTTGGCGTCATGTCCGGACTCGAGTGCGGTTTCCAGATAGCTGAAGTACGACTCAAGCATGAACTTACGTACCATTCGCGCGTTGCTCTTCCACAAAGCGAATCTCTCTGGCACCCAGCGGAGAAAAGGGAATGCATCGACGGGAGGTGCCTTACCTGGCTCCAGAAGCTCGAGCCAGACCTTCTGGATGCTGAAAAACCGATCGGCAAAGTCTGGGTCCCGTTTCTCCAGGCGTTGTCCACAGACAGCCAGTAGCGGAGTGGCCAGTGCCCATTTCTCCAACTCTCTCAGAGTCTCCGACGGTGTGCTCTTCAGTAGATTCCTCGCCAGCGTTGTCGAGGTGGCTTCCTGCATGGGCATCATGTCCTGCGAACTGTTCTTGCCCACGAGATACGCGGCAGCCGTGCGCCAGCGTCGCAGGTAGGAATCGTTCTGGACATTGAGTATATGCTTGTCCCGATGCTCGCCAAAGACGCGTTCGACCGAGATGTAGCTGTACGGACGGCCGGAGTAGTAGGCCGCTCGCTTGCTGAGGAGCTCGTGGAGGACTTCCGGGCTTTGAAGGACAATGAGATTCGCTGTGCCGGCTTTGAGGCTGATTATTTCCCCGTAGACCCTTGACCACTCCTGGAACTTTATATAGGGCTTCTTGAGCGGGATTTGATGCAGATTTCCCAGTCCAAGCACCGTTGGTGGACCTGGAGGAAAGTCTTTCGGTCGCAGAGTAGACAGGAAGTATTGTACAGTCAGAAACGCGAGGTATACTGACGCAGAAATCACGGCCGCAGATAGCCAGATGGGCAGATAAAACATGTTCGCCATTGTTGTCGTTTGATCGTCCCAGAACTCAACCGCCAGGGGGGTTCCAGGATAGATATATCCCCATACAACAACGCTCTCCCTATTTGCCCCCTCACGAATGACGAATCTAGAACAACCCATGCATGGTTACTCCTCATGTCACTGTAACCTTTGTTATCCCTGCTTAAAAAAAGCAAAAAGACCAAATTCAATAGCCGGATGCCAAATCGACAAGCGGCTATTGGGTAGCTTAAGCTGCTACTGCACCCTGAAACGAAGCCATTATGCGAGCCCTTTCCTTCGAGCCACCCCTTCAATAGTGTCGGCGGGGTAAATGGACAATAAGGAGACAAGGAGCATGGCAGGGAAGGCTGCGTCCACTTCAATGCTACATCGTCATTCGATCGCTGCGAGAGTGACAAGGTTGGATCGTGAGGTAGGATCCAGAACGACCCCTGGACTTTCCTGCAGTAGGCTCGGCCTTGCGGATAAGTCTAACGATTGTTTTTGCCTTGTTCTTAGCTATCCATTTAATCATTTTAGTTAACTCGAAGCTGTATATAGGATCGGAAAGGGGTATTCATTGTGTTGAGATGTCGGGTCTGGCATCTTTCATTGTTGTTTTTTACCCTATGCAACAGAGATCGAAAAAAAAAAAACTCCTGTAGGAAGCGCCCCAAGGATCTCGCCGACGATATGGAGCAGGGCATATATTCACGGGAATGTTAGCATAATCTCATGTGCTCATATGAAACTGGAAGAGCTCAAGGAGGCAGAACTTTTGTTGAATCAAGCGAGATGCGTTCTTGAAAATATCTGAGGCATCATTTCGGGCAGCCCACTTGCCGCTGCTATACAATTACCCAGCTTGTATTTGAAAGCTGGTCGGCCGGCAGAGGCGATCAAGATATCAATTACAATCTGTTGAACGATGCGATAGACCAGGAGGAGGTGCTTGATCACTAGTCAAAGGATAAGATCGCATTCATGGCGGACCGCGCCCTCGAGATGTACGAAAACTGAAAGTATGAGGAGGTTATGGCAAAGATGGATGAGCCGGTGAAAATTCCCAAAGCCACTTTGGTGACGATGATGAAGCGACTTTAGAAATCAAGACGAACCACTCGTGATTCCAGGGGGAAGTGAAGAAAGAGAAATTGAAGCGCTCAGAATTAGGGGGAAATAAACACAGTTCGAAATTACATCGAGACGATTCTCATTTGGACTTAGAGGGAAATGAACGTTCAATGCGGTGCCGAAGGGAGGGGATCTTTGATGGTGGGAATATTAAAGACGAGAATCGTTTTCCCCTCTAAATAATATGAATTCAAGTATCATACTTCAAGTCCATTTTTTCTAAATAGAATGAGTAAATGTGCCTTTTGGATTGAAAGGAGTGTAAAAAACAAACAGCATGTTCTTTGGTTAACTTAGGTTCGATCACCTGGCTGGCTCTCTATAGAAGGACAGGCTGGTTGGACTATGTAGTATAGGTTTTGCTCAGGCCAGGACGAGAGGTAACTTTGATCAATGATGCTTACGAACATGTTTCGCCCATCTGGCTCTTCTAATGTTCTAGATGCTATCGAACATCTATCCGAACACGCGCTGGAAATGGACTAGTTTTTGGAGAAAGCCCCATTCTGAACAAAGATGGACGGACTAATGTGGCATTCGCATACGAATACGATGGGAGGATCAGTCACACAACAATGGAGTCCCTTCTACAGCATCTATCTATCCAGATCACTCCCTGAATCTAGGCGGTGGAGGGGAGAGGGAGGGGATTTGCGGGCCCGGGGAAGAGAGGGATAGGCTCAATTAGTATTTCTGTCCTCAGAACTTGAGGACAAAGAGCGTCGTAAAGCACTTGGAGGGTAGATCAAGGTTTACAACGCCTGTCCCTGCACCCGAACTCACTCTGGACATATAGGACTCTGCTTGAGAAAGCAAGAATAGCAAGCATGAGAAGAAGACAGTCGCTACCCATGGCGCCAACCTTCATGGTGTCGGCGCCCGGCAAGGTCATCGTCTTTGGCGAACACGCCGCCGTCTATGGGAAGCCAGCCATCGCCGCCGCCATCTCGCTCCGGTCCTATCTCCTCGTCAACACCCTATCCAAGTCTTGTCACACCGTTACGTTGAACATGCGAGACATTGGCCTCGCCCATACCTGGGACATGGCCGTTCTCCCCTGGACCATCTTCAACCAACCTGAGAAGAAGAAATCCTTCCACTCCTTAGTCACTTCCCTAGACGACGATCTCCTCAAGGCCATCATCCCCTATGCTGAAGAGGTATCCAAGCATCTCCCAGAGCAGGACCGCAAGATCCACATCAGCTCAGCCAAAGCCTTCCTCTACCTCTTCCTCTCCCTCAGCTCGCCGCACAGCCCCGGCGTCATCTACACCCTCCGCTCCACCATCCCCGTCCGCGCCGGCCTGGGCAGCAGCGCGAGCGTCTGCGTCTGCCTCAGCGCCGCCCTCCTCCTCCAGATCCGCGCCCTCGCCGGCCCCCACCCGGACCAGCCGCCCGAGGAGGCCGAGCTCCAGATCGAGCGCATCAACCGCTGGGCCTACGTCGGGGAGATGTGCATCCAGGGCAACCCCAGCGGCGTGGACAACACCGTGTCGGCGGGTGGGAAAGCCGTCCTGTACCAGAGGCAGCAGGGCGCGGCCGGCTCATCGTCGCTGGTCACACCGCTGCCTCGGTTCCCTAAGCTGCCGCTGCTGCTCGTCAACACGCGGCAGGGGCGCTCTTCGCTCACGCAGGTTGAGAATGTGAGCGTGCTCAGGAGGAACCATCCCAAGGTGGTTGAGCCGATTCTGGAGGGGATTGGGGAAGTATGTAACTCGGCGCTGGAGCTCATCTCGTCGACTGATTTTGACGGTGATGATAATGAGAGCATCAATGGAGCGGTAGAGCACTTGGGGACGCTGATCCGTATCAACCACGGATTCCTCGTTTCCCTTGGGGTGTCACATCCCAGACTTGAGCGGATCAGAGAGCTGGTCGACTATGCGGGGATAGGATGGACGAAGCTCACGGGTGCGGGAGGCGGCGGGTGCGCCATCACGCTGTTCCGGCCAGATGTGGAAGAGGAGACTATCCGGGAGTTGGAGCAAAGGTTCGAAGCGGAGGGGTTCGAGAAGTACGAGACGGTTCTGGGCGCTGATGGCGTGGGGGTTCTCTGGCCGGCCGTGTTCCGCAATGAGGATGATGATAGGGCGGCCGAGGAGGTTGACCGGGAGATGTTTGAGAAGGTGGAGGGGCCCCAGGGAATCGATCGCCTTGTTGGTGTGGGAGCACAGGAGAACCGGAAGGGTTGGAAGTTCTGGACGAGGATGGCGGTCTGAATCGATAGCTGATAATAAGTGGATAGAGAAAAGCGTACGGAGCAGACTGTATGATCTTGCTGGTTCTTCTTGTAGTCCTATCTTTGGACATACAAGCTCTCTCTCTTCCTACCTGAGAATGCAGAGCCATCTGCGAGCAGCAAGAAGCTCCCCAAAAATACCTACGCATCTTTAAAAAGGAGGTGTAGAGGAACATATACATCTCGAATTGGCTTGTATCTTAGTAATAGTGCGATGGGAACGAGAGGAAATGGATTGGCGCTGTCCATGTTGGCTTATCTCGAGAGAATTGTTTATAAATTTCCGCCAACTAGAATACTCTAGCCTGGAAACTCGAAAATCCTCCAGGTTTGCTTGTATTATCTCTCTTGAAGTTATCATCACCTCTTCAGTAAAATTCTTAGGATTCAACTTGCGTGGTGCTTGTTATACGTCGGCATTTTCGAGAAGAAGTCAGGATATTTGCGCTAAATTCTATCAAGATTCTCGCCTTTTCGGACGACGAACTTGGAATAAGCTAAGCTAAAAAGACCTGAACTTTTGAAAATCCACTGTCTTACATTGTTACTTGCATTCACGAAAGGCATGTCGATCTGTTGGGAAGTGTCCGCATGGGGCAATACGATCTCGGCCCACAGGCCTCTGAAAAGCTCGACTTCGAGTGGTGTAATAGGGACCTTTTGACTAGGATATCCCGGGCGGAAAGCGGAGAATTTCCTCCAGCTGAGGACAGGAAGATCTCACTGACATAAGTTCCCATCACGCAAGGTGGATCTTCGTCATGGCCTCTGTCACTTCTGCGTGAGACCTTGTGTCTAGAGGCGGAATTTCGTCTATGTAGGCTGTAGGCGTAATGGCAGGGCAGATTTATCAATTGCGGTTGTGATGCCCTGGCCATTATTATCCATTATTATATAAAGCCATGCTGAGCTGCGAGTTAAAACTTGATTTTGCTCGTCGTGTGGAAGAAAATCTAAGCTTCTTCTCCAAAAGGCGTCAATAGCACTCTTGATCATGCGTCTCAGCTTCTTGTTCTGTGGCCTCGTCGCCGCTCTGGCTCACGCGCAGCCTCTTCTCAATCCCCGTGCCGAAAAGCCACCATATTTTATTGTGACTGGTGACTCGACTACCAACAAGGGGACTGGCTGGGGAGAAGGCTTCATCAGTAATGCCCAGAATGGCGCGGATGGTGTGATCCGCTCGAAAGGAGGAACAACTACTGTCACTTTTAAGACTGGCGGCTGGTGGGATAAGGCTATCCAGTCTGTGAAGGACAACAAGGACAAGTACCGCCCTATCGTCACCATACAGTTCGGACACAATGACCAGAAAGCGGATTCCGGTATCTCTCTCAGCCAGTTCCAAAACAACATGAAGAATCTGGCCGAAGAAGTCAAAAGCGCAGGCGGAATCCCAGTAGGTGCAAACTCGGCACATGTATGCCCTTACCGAAACATAGCCCCAGCTGACACCATCGCAGATCATTATCACCTCTCTGGCCCGTCGTGTGTTCCATGACGGGAAAGCCAGCGAGAATCTCAAGGATTGGGCAGACGCAGCCAAGGCGGCGGCCAAGGCAGCAGGGGCAAAATATCTGGACCTGAACCGTGCCAGCACCGACTACCTGAACAAGATCGGAGAGACGAATGCTGCAAAATACGACAAAAAGTCTGGGGACAAGACGCACTTGAATGCCGCGGGGAGCACAGTCTTTGGCCGGATCGTGACTGATTTGATGGGCGACGCGAGGCCGGATCTGAAGACCTATCTCAAGGAAAATAAGAAGTTGAGCGATAAGATTGCCAAGGGAGATTTTGCTACTGGTAATGAATAATTTTGCATCAAAGTCTGCTCCGGACTCGGTAATTCCTCACATGACTTGAGTGTATTACATTAAGAGCTCGAAATTAAACATAATATCTGATGTCCAAAGGGATGCTGTTTCCAGAGACTGGAGCTTATTAACGTGGTGACCGCGACGGTTCTCAAGATCCAAGAGATACAAGTTTCGCGAGATCAGTCACTAGGCCCGAGGTTTTAATGAGGCTAGAGAATGCACATATTAAACCCGAGCAATTAAAATAGTATTGGCACACTGGACGTCTAGAAGAATAGTAGATATTAAATAAGATTATTTGCTGGCAACGTGAGTTGTCTGTATGTACACTCACGACCTAGATCAGTAAACTATCAATCTATTCCGGCAGTGAGCACCACTTCTTGATCACCGAGCCCCGAGGATGCCGCCTCAGATTCCTCAGATGGCTGCTGTAGCAATCAAACAAACTGACACAGTCCTTGTCCCAGGGCGAGCGGCACGCCCCGACCATATGGTAGGACACCACCGTGATCCGGTAGCCGCCGCTGCTCCGGCCCGACGCATCGTCCCCGCCATCGATGGTGACGCTGAAGTCGGAGTTGCACCGCTTGCACGAGGACACCGAGTCCCGGCACGGCCTGAACACCATCCCGCGGCCATCATCCCGCGGCTCGAGCTCCGGCAGCGACGCCGGCCGCAGGGCGAAGCACGACCCGACCGCCGTGTGAGGACACACGTACAGCGTCCAGCTCAGCACGTCCTGCCGGAACGTCTCGGCGGGCACGTCGGGCCACACGGGCGTCAGGACGTGGTGTATCCGCACGATGAGCTTGTCGTCGACGATGCGGGCCCGCGTCGTGTGCACGCTCTTCCGGCTCCCCGCGATCTGCGGGCGCGTGCGCATAGAAAGATTCTCGATCCCGATGCCGCAGGGGAAACCGTGGAGGTGGCGGTTCATGGCGAGGCGCGCGTGGTACCAATTGATGTCGACGCTGGTGCCCAGGAGGTTGAGGCCGATGGTGTGGTGCTTGTAGTTGCCGAAGCGGCTGATGCTCATGAACTCGCCCCAGGACTTATCTGGCCCCCAGTGGTCCTGGAAGGGGTGGAGCTTGGTGCACATGTCGCAGAAGAAGAGGCGGTCGCCGACGTTGGGGTCCCGCTCGAGCAGCTGGAGGAACTCTGACCGCGCGGGCTGGGAGTTGCTGACCGAGGCGAGGGCCTGCGGTTCGCGCAGATGGTATGAGGCTCTGCTGGCCAGGGCGAGAGATGCGGCCGAGCATTCGTCCAGTTTGCTCGATACGTGCAGGTATAGCTCGACTGGGAGGTTCAGAAGAGGCGAGTCATTCTCAACAGATGGATGTAGAGTCAGGCACTGCGGCTCGACATCGACAGGAGGATCCTTGCCGAGGACTTCTCCTCTGCTCCTGGGCGAGCTGCAGCACTGGCCCATGGTAGGATCGTGGTAATTGGATGAAAAGGTGAGCCCTCCGTGCCAGTGCTGGTGTAAGAGCGGCAATTCAGGATCTCATGGATGGGTGATTGCCATGATTATAGACCGGTATTGAAGAAAAGTCTATTTGGGAGCTTCTGAGAGAGTCCAGTGCCGCCGGAAGAGGGAGCATCGGGAGCTTGCACCACGGTGACTTCATTGTCGCTGAATAGGCATGGCAGATGTTGAGCTCAAAGCCGAGACGCTCTAGCGGATGTTCGCCGTAGCGTCCTTGAACAGAAACGTACATGGTTCATACTTTCTATGCGCTATATTGGTGTTGCTCTGTGGTGAGGGCCGGATTTGGGATGGCACACGGGCTTGGTGTTGGAGCCGAAGCTTGATCATTGCCCACTAGTCCAAGGGAGTGGAGGAGGGAAGAGTCTATTTATGAGTGATCCTTCTATAGTAGATGACCGGAAAATGGGCTGGGCAATTAGATGAGCTTGGTCCTGATTAAAGCAAAGGAGCAAGAGTGTACCTTGTCTTGGGATTGGGGTAACGGTGCTTCATTACACACTCGGCTTGGCTCAATTAAGCATGTGCTACGATCAGATCAGAGATCTACAGGGGTAAAACATGTCATGATTACTCAAACCTTAAAGCGAATGTGCCGGGTCTCAAGTTGAAACCCCAGTCGAGGGAGGCATCTGGGTCTGTCCATGGGCTTCCCCCTTCGCCTTAGACCAAAGGGTAGTAGACACCCCTAGATCCATAACACGTCTACAATGCGTCATGTCTTGTCGCTAAGTTCGACTTACCTTCCTTCTCTTGCCAGAATCTAGGAAGCTATACTTGCTCATGTGTAGTGGGAATGATAGCCCAATGGCACGGCAAGTGAATGCCCGAACACGGAACCGAGGAGATTGTCCATACAGGATTCATCATCATCTAACTATGCGTCAAGTCGTTAACCAAAACCACACACGCTATGCCCATCTACAATGCATCATATACCACCCGCTCATGTGCTCGTTTTATCGTCACTGCTCGCCGTGTCTGGCATCGGGATGGGTCCTCCGGGAGAATCCTCCCTTCGCGCCGTCAGAACCTCGACGCCAGTCTCGGTAACGAGCAATGTGTGCTCTGTATCAACATGAGTATAACGCGAATCAGTGGGAGCAGGGAACACATACCAAACTGAGCAGTCCGTGACCCGTCAATGGTCGCGTTCGTCCAGTTATCAGGCCAGTACACCTCCTTGGGTTTCCCCAGAGCGAGGATGGGCTCGATCGTGAACGTCATCCCGGGCTTGCACGTGCCAACCGCCTTGTTCTTGCCGTAGTGGGGGATCCACGGGGGCGGGTGGAAGTTGGTGTTGATGCCGTGCCCGCCCCATGTCGCGACGATGTGGCAGTCCCGCGACTTGGCGTGCTTCTCGATGGCGTTGCCGAACTCGCGGAACGGCGTGCCCGGCTTCACGAGCTTGATGGCCTCGTCCAGGCACTCGCGGGTCGTCTCGATGATCCTCACGTTGTCGGGGTTGGCCTTGGCTCGGTCGCCGACGTAGTAGGTCTCGTTGAGGTCGGCGTGGTAGCCTTCGTGGTAGATGGAGATGTCGAGGTTGAGAATATCGCCGTCTAGGAGGATGCGTTGGTCGGGGATTCCGTGGCAGACAATCTCGTTGGGCGAGGTGCAGAGCGACTTGGGGAAGTGGTTGTAGTTGAGCGGCGAAGGGTACGACTGTTGGTTCGCATAGTTAGTGATAGAGCGTGAATGGTCTGCTAGGCCGGTGCATATTGGATCCCACCTTGCGCTCTATGCAAGCCTTGTGGCAGACTTCGTCCAGGTAATCAGTGGTAACGCCAGGCTTCAGGGCTGCGGCGGTGATATCTAGCACTTCTCGAGCCAATCGACACACTTTGCGCATGGCCTCTTGCGCCTTCGCGTCGAGTATATCGATCTTGGTTCGGTTCAGCCGTCGCTCGGCATTGGAAATCCCAGTGTCGGCATAGTCTGGACGTCGGATCGATTTAGGGACGGTTCGCATGTCGGAGAGGGGGTACACGGCACGGACGGAGCCGGTGTAGGGGTAATTTGGGAATGGATTGTAGAATCGGCTGGCTATATACGGAGACGAAGGTCAGAAACGAGGAATCGGAGGTTGGATCGAGGAGGCGTTGTTGGAAGAGCTACTTGGCTTCTTGTCATCTTGGGCGGATTTATGCATCGACTTGTGGTCGTTCTGCGCGACAGCAGATTAGCTGAGCAGCCCAGAAGAAGCCGGGATAGGAGGGATAAGCATTAGGAAGCAGACAAACCAACCCAGTTCCTCTTGAAGCAGTCCTGCGAGCAGAAGAAGCTGTCCTTGACTCCCTGCTTCAGGCACGTTGGGCAATGCAAAGTCCCCGCGTCGTTGCTGCAGTCTGCCCCAAGACATTTCCTCTTGGCCTGAGGCTCGGCGTCGGCGGCGCTGTCGGTCATTTTCGATAGCCTGGCTTCACGGGGGGTGGGATGGAAGAATGAAGCCAGATGGTCTCTGTCTGGTGAGGAATTGGGTGTTGTAGGATCAAGGGAGACGTTTTCGATTGACAAGCCGGAAGTGGCATGAATATTCACGTAGCGGGGCTCCTCCCCGCTATATGCATGCTGCTTGTTGGCTCCCAAGCGACTGACATAAAACATGGCATACCAAAGTTCTTTTCACCAATTTAGGACCTCATTTTCATTGCTAATACTAAACATAATAACAAGGATATTATAAATTATTCTTGTGCTTATTACTAGGTTGGTTGTTTTGATATTATGTCGAAATTCTACGCTGGAGGTTTTGGATTTGCGTCACTTGAGAGGTAACATATATCAACTAACAGCACGAATGATGGAAATGACCAGCCGAGCCCAAAATGCCAAGAGTGCTGGCACTTGGTAGATAAAATTGACTATTCAGGGCAGGAAAATGACATTTATTCCAAATAAATGGTTCGCTTAAGAGAGGACTTGTAAAGTACATGCGTCATGCATCTGGCCAGAGCCAAGTTTGGAGTCCAGCCGCTCTGACAGGATTTGCCTTAGTTCTCATTTGCTGAAATAAGTTCAGGGTCTTCTATGCCGCTTGATTGAGCTTGGGACTGGAATATCTGCGGAAATTTCGACCAGTCCCAGCTGATCTCGTCGGGAAAAGTCGAAGTCCAATTGTCGAACCACATCACATCGTCATCTTTTAGCATCCAGAGTTGGGATCCGTCGCCGAAGAGGCTCCCTACTCGCAGCTCGTCTTGAGAACCGCATAAAGAGGCTGTTACTGGCCAGCTCATACCTCCCGTCTGGTCTGGTCCACCTGATCGCGGCTCAGACCGGATGCTCAACAAAGGGATTCGGCCTTCACTCGCACCTATTGACGAAGCTGCTGCTCTAGAATGCCTTGCAGCTTTGATTGAATCAATTGAAAGCCTAACAAGCCGATCAAGTAACGATCCCAGATCATTGTTGCCCCTGATATTCCAGCAGTGTAGCTCCCTCAAGGCATTGGCAGCAGTTTCAATCAAACTCAAATCCGTTCCCGCCACGTGCGACCTTGACCTGGTGATGATTGAAACTACCAGAGTCGCCAAAGAGTTGAGGGGTGCAGTCAGTGACGAAAAAGCGGCGTTGAAATCGGAGTCTACACCTTCGATAACGAGTCGCAGAGTCTTCCTCGCAGCATCGGCTACCATCGACTGGCCATTTCGTATGACCGAGTACCATGGCTTATCTTTGGCTATTACGCCCACGGCCGACTGGAGGGCTTCTTTACTAATGAGTAAGCTGTTGCGAGATAGAACAATTATTCTTGAGACATTGTTAGACAAAGCCTACAAAATTTTCAATTCGCGATAGATTATCACTTACGCGGAGTGATATTGCATCGATATATAGGAGGCAACCGGGTGAAGTCCAGAAGTATGGATCGAGTCTGAGGTTGGCATATTTGACGTCGTGTTAGTCAACTGTAGGTAGATGCCAACTTTCATTCGGTCTTTCCTCAACTCGTCGGGTATTGATCCAGTCCACTGTGTAAGTTTAATACAGCTCTGTCCCGTAATTTTCACCTACTCACAAATTGACTGATAGAGCTCGTCGTCTCGATCTGTTTCGTCTTGCCTGCTCGCACGGACAGACCATTTGCCGATACCACTCAGCAACCTCGCCAACTCGAAAAGCTCTTTGCAACCGAGTGTATCAGGTAGTTCGGCCTCTTGAATATCTCGAAGGTTTGAGTGACGCCCAAGTTCAAAGGCTAGTAGTTTCTTAATTGTGTATACATAGACCCAGAGCCTCTTCTTTTCCTGAGCCATGGGGTATTCAAGAGATGTTCGTTCCGGGGAACGGGTCGTTTGCTGGTTCAATCCCAAGGATGTTGCAATCGACGCGGCAAGGATGACGGTGTGACATGCCTCCAGCAGCTTGTTACTGGATTTCAATGCCAGTAAAAATAATATGAGGCTCTTGAGAGTTGCAATACTCGGGTATCTCATGACATGCCCAAGCATTGTTCTACAACGATTGAGGTAACATCCAACATTAAACCCGGAAATTTGGTGAGGGCCTGAGATGTAACCCAAGACGAGGACGGCCAAAAGCTGCAAGATCCGTGACGGTCCATTCCTTTGAACAAACTCGAAGAAGCTTGAGTTAAGACATTGTTCCAAACCCGCCATGCACTCCTTCCACTCAAGCAGAGGGAAGATCAAGTTGGGACCTTGGAAGAAGCACTCTAAGAGTTCATTTGGAGATACCTGATTAGGGAGTTCCCATTGGTCAAACAGGCTTGCATCAGAAAGGCTCATCATGTCTGTTCTGCGATGTTCCCAGGACTTCGTAGGAACCTGCCGGAGACCGAGCCGGTATAGCGCCAGATCTAACCAGTCGCTGGCTATCTCAACAGACGAGTTCCCGATGGTCTTTCCCACCAAAGGCAGTCTACCCTGAAATCGGGAAGGTGATGGTTGATTCAAAGGACTTTCATCTCCATCTTTATCGCCATGGTTGGGGATTTGATGCTGGCTTTCAAGATCATCCACATACCCGATCTCTGGAAGCGCCAAGTTAGTTGGGAAACTAAGTCGGCCAGGGGAATAGCTCGTAAGTTGCTGACCAGCATCGTCTTTTGGTATCAATTGATTGACCGGAGAAGCATCATCTGATACTGAAGGGGTAGAGCGGCGTTGTCGTCCTGCTTCATGCCTGTCAACCGACTTGTCTGGCCTTCGCTTATCAGTAGTAACGCAATGCACACCGGCGGCCTGGCAGGCATTGCAATACGGCTTCCGCTCGTCGCAACGGGTTTTCCTGGCTCGGCAATAGTTGCATGCAAAGTTGATCCGGCGCTTCTTGCTCCGTGGCGGGTCTGTGTGGGATTTCGCTGGTGGCATGGCGACGAACTGGCAAGTGAGCTTGGATTGATCACCTAGGATGAGATCCCGAGCCTTCGGTATTTCTTTGAAATATGAGTTCTGTCCTTGAGCAGAACCGACGGCTCGCTTAGTCTTGGTTGTGCGCGGAGTGGCAATATCCCTGCAGAAAAGGAGGAGTTACGGGATGTGGAGGAGGAGGCTCGTTCCCCATTGGGTATAAATGAGATTTGTTGAGTTACCGAGCCGAGATTTCGCTTGAGTGTTCTCATAAAGAAACTTAGTTCCCTTGCTCCCAACTCTTGAAGCAGCAGGTCGTGGGCTCCTTGCTCGTGCAAATCATTGCCAACAATCACATCGCCGATTCTTCATCAATTATCCTTTAAGATGGGTTCCCAAAAATCTGACGATGACCCCCATGTTGAAACAATCGAGACGATTTTGGAGGCGGATGCCGATACACCCCGCCAGCCTCAACTTAGTGAGGGCTTCGTCAAACTCATCCAAAACGATTCCGTTATCTTGATCCCTCGCCCGAGTCAAGATCCCAAAGGTATTGTCGCCCTCCTTTTCGCTGTTAGTCATTAGGCAATCGACTGATTCTGCGACGAGACCCGTTGAATCTCCCGACATGGCATAAGGGCGTCATAATATTACTCGTCGGTCTATACAGCTCCATGTCGGTCCTTGCGACTTCTGGCCTTGGTGCCGTTCCCCATACGTTGTCAAAGACTATCCCGACCAGGCTACGAGAGCGACCGATCTGTTGACATACCCTACTCTATTCATGGGAATTGGAAACCTTATATCTATGCCCCTGACACTGGCACTCGGAAGACGGCCCATCTTCTTGATTTCCTTGCTGATGCTCGCCATGACTGGTCGTTGGTGTGCATTTTCGACTTCCTTGACCAGTCACATTGCCAGGCGTAACTTCCTTAGCATGGCGGCCGGGCAGAGCGAAGCTCTTGCTCCTTTTATCGTTGAGGAGATTCATTTCCTGCATGAACGGAGCACCAAGATTGCTTGGTATATCGGAGTCCAGTAGCGGGAACTGTGGGTATGTTTGTTGCAATCCTTCCTCCAAGCGCTGAGACGCTGGACTAATATGTCAGACCCGTATCCCACAATGGGGATTAAAAGAACACAAACCAAGACTTGAACAAGTTGGACCCATCCTAGCCATGCAGACTTGAAGCTGTATGGCTCGGCCATTAGGATCACAGCGAATGTCGATGCATGGTAGACGTAGACACCCAGACAAGCGCCATTTAACAACAAAAGCCACAGGATTGATGGGATACAAGATCCCTGGGCAGTTTGTTTGAAAAATATGAGAACTTCGCTCCAGTTCGCTTTGTAATGAAACATCTTCAAATCATGTTTCCATGTTCTGGGGCCGTATATTTCAGGTCGCACCCGGTGAGATTCGCGTGTCGTCGGCTTCTGATCGGGATCACTTTCGGCTAAAACGCAAATCAAAATTAATACGATACATCAAGGGAGAGTAGAGCGACGATGGGTAAAGTGAAACAACACTTACCCAGAGGGTCACCAGCTCTATTGTACATTGTCTCCGTAACGAAGAAAAATGACAAAACCAACAGCCCGAAGGAGATAAAAATGTGATGATCAAATACCACCACTTGAGACCAAACTGAGGGACATGCCCACTTACCATTATCTTTGGAAATAGTCGAAGACTAATATCATAGGGATAGCCCGAGGATAGATTCATCTCTCTCGCACTTCCAATAGTTGCTGTCATCCTGGCATGCGTCATCTATGGGCAAGCCGGCGCCACCCAGAGAAATGGCACTGGATGGCGATTGTGGCTCCTTACCACATTGGTTTGTTCGCCTTCATGAGTGCCAACCTTGTGGCAATTACACATTCCATCGACAGCTTCCCCAAACAGGGCGGGGCTCTTCTGATGATTATTTGCGTCGGCCGCGGATTCATCAGCTTCGGGCTAAGCTACTCTACCGTCCCCCTGATTGATGCAACCGGGTATGATGGGACCATGAACATTCTGGCCATTATCTGCGGTGTCTTGGGCGCCATCACAATTCCAATGTACTTTCTTGGTCCGCGGTTCCGTAGGTGGGCGCTGAAGACGTTTTGGGTAGTCGACAAGAGTCTGTGAGAACATGGACATGGTTTCTACGATCCGAACGTTAGCAGAGCGGACTCTGACCATTAGAGTAGGAGGCTAGCTTTCAAATCAATCACCGTTTCACCTTTACCTTTCTTAATTGTAAGATCTAAATAAATGCAAGAAGGATCATTTATAACGAATTAATGCGCCTGAAGAACAGCTTTCGAACTTGCCTGCTACGTATTACACTTAAAGAGCCCCGCCTGGCCCAGTCAGTTGCCGGCTGGTTTCATGATCATCAAGCACTTTGCTGTGGTATGTTCTTCTGCCCATGAGCTTATTTCCCTGCTCAAGTTTGGTTTGCTCATATACTACGTGCAAAAGTGGGAAGTATGAGGAGGCAGGCAAGTGAGTGACAGGAAAAATGAGACATGCAATGGAAGAGCGACTATGAATAGACCACCTTCTACAATGATTCTAAAGTTCAATCAAAATAACAATATTTAATATGTTCCTTTTTTATGTATGTATTGTAGCCGCTCAACAGTCTGATAATACTGGTCACAGACTTGGCAATAAGCCGCCAAATGTTTGAGTGTCTTAAATTCAATGTCGCTTACTTGCTAGGGTTTTATCACAGTCGGCCAGAGAAGGCTCTGTATTTCATCTCAACGATGATCCATGTTATTTTGTGATCGACTAATGGTGCGACCTTTCTTATCCTGGATGCAGAGTAGATTCATGCGTTTGCAGGGTGGGTAAGTTGAGAGATGTTTTTGCTCTGAATTCTTCCAGATCAGTTCATCTTTCGCCGCGTCTATCAATTGATCAAAATGCGGGTCTCTAAAGTCACCCACCGCAGCCTTATGGAAGTTCTAACATCGGATTGGGTCGGTTGCCGAGACGTTTTCGGTCGCGTTGTTCTCGGGGAAATTGGCGGTATTCAAATGTTTAGCATATGGCCAAGAGACGTTGTATTATTTACTTATGTATGGTTCGCCCTTGGGGTAGCATTTCCTTTCTTATTAGTCAAACCTGCTGATTTGGCCAATCATTTTGTGCCACGATTGGGATCACTACAGCAGAGGTAAGCCCGCAGGATAAGGCGTATTTCACTCAGCGTATAATGTTGTGTATCAGCGTGAGGCACACTCTGC